AGACAATTTTTAAAAAAATTTGTAATAAATATATTTTTAATAATTTAAATTTACAAAAAAGGTTTGGTAGATTTTTTGAGTAAGAACTGGGTGGTTCCTTTAAAATTTGCGACAATTTTTGACACCAAACAATAATTAGCACCTAATTTATTATTTTGGAGACATATGTCGTACCTATTTTCGACACCTACAATTAACAAGTTGATTTTTATAGAATTCGTTATATGCTTATTTTCATTAATAAATTGTGCAAATATTTTATTTTTTTCCTGATGATGATGAACTGCGCAAAAAAAAAAACTAAATATCTTTATTTCGCTAATAGAGCAGAACTCGTGCAAATATTTGTTTTATTAATTAACACCCTAAAATAATTAGTATCTCTTTTTATAAAACCAAATATTTCGATCGTTAAAAACTTATTAGATAATATTCCATAATATTTCTAATTAAAAAAAATATAAAAAATATTAAACGTACTCGATAAATAAAAGCCAATGCTTCCGGTGGAGCACTGTTCAAGAGGCATTATATAGGGATCTAAATGGGTAACCGAAAATTATCAAATTATTCAATTTGTTTTCTGAAATGGTAGAGGGTATAATTGTGCGCTAAAGCTTCCATTTTGACCTAAGTAAAATATTCTTAAAATTACTCAATTTTTTACTCCCACCTTACTTCCCCCTCTATTTCTTATATGTCATCCCTAAAACTGTATTTTTATTTACACACGTGACATTTCTTATACCATGCTTCATTTTCGACAGGTTCTAAAAAGTAAAACAAAATAACAAACAAACAATGTAAACAAAGGCATTTCATATACATATATAGGTATTGTACGAATGTAAATAAAACATTGTAAAAATGTAGAAAGTGTTAAGAGTTAAAAAAAGTTCGATTCAGATTAAATCGATTATATTTCTTCAAAAATAACTTCAGTTGAATCTGGTCAGGAATCATGCCAGCCAGACATCCAGCAAAGATTCTAAAAATATTTAAAAAATGTTTGACTTTAATTACAAACATTTGTTTAATAAAAGATTTGAAATTTCATCAGCCAATTTAGTTGGTGTTACATGTGATTACCAAAATAACAACAAACAAACATGTGGAAAATATTGAATTGCGAAATAAGTGATAATGAAAATAATAATAACAAAGAGAAATAATTTAAATAAAATAACTCCATACCATTCATTGGTCACTGAAAATAAATTTTAACAAGTGAAAAAGCGTTAAGTTCGGCCGAGCCGAACTTTGGATACCCTCCACCATAGATATACTGACAGGTACTTGAAATAAAAATATAGGGAACATACCAAAAAATGTACCTATACCGACATTCCTACAAACCGATTATGGTTCTAAATATTGGTCCTAGACCCCATGTTTCTTAAGACGATATTTGTTTCAAAAAAAAATTGATTTCATTCAAACTTTGCCCATTTTATTATTTCTTCCAAAATTAGTTCAAGCTCGAACATGGGGAATATCAGTTGGGAGATTTGTTACCATATACGATTACAAAATACCAAATTGCAGCTAATTCGGTTGAAAAACGCGCTCAAGAACCCCAAAATACCGAAATTTGGGGGTACCCTTATATGGGGGCTATCCGAAAAAATGGACCCATATTTATAATTTTTTGTGGAGAGATTTGGTGCCTATTAAGAACTTAAAATACTAAATTACAGCTAATTCGGTGGAAAAATACGATCAAAACCCCCCAATATACTGAAAATTAGGAGGTAAAATTGGGGGCTACCAGAAAAAGTAGACCTATATTTATATTTTTTGTGGAGACATTTAGTACCCAATAAGAACTCAATGTACCGAATTTCAGCGTATTCGGTTGAAAAACGCGCTCAAGAACCCCAAAATACGGAAAATTGGAGGGTACTGTTATATGGGAGCTATGCCTAAACGTGGACTGATATATCCCATCTTCGAATTTGACCTGCCTGCAGACAAAAGACAAACCTGCGCAAAATTTCAGCACCCTATTTCAATTCCTTCAGAAGATAGCGTGATTACAACAGACGGACAGACGGACATGGCTAGATCGTCGACGGACATGGCCTGATCAAGAATATATACACTTTATAGGGTCGGAAATGAATATTTCGATGAGTTACACACGGAATGACAAAATTAATATACCCTCTATACTATGTTGGAGGGTATAAAAATAAATAAGGCTGTATAGGTCCTTAAAAATATTATTGAGGGACCAGGATACATTTTTATAACTTCCACCGTTCATTCCAAATACTTGAAATAGATATGACAGCTACCTTCAAATTATTATTTAATCATTTTACGCATAGCTATGAACCTTGAAAATTATTATTAAAACCAGTAAGGAAAGAAGTAAAGTCAAAGATCCTTCACCGCTTTGGGTATATTCAATAGATGGCATGGTCCATAAACATGCCATTCCCTATATCTAAATCTGAACCGATTTCCACGAAACTTAACACACATCATTCTAAACTCAATTCAGTACGCTATGCCAAATTTCGTGCAAATCGAATGATATATAGGGACATTGGTGCACCATTAACATAAAATCGGTGGAAAATATAAATGGGAGCTATATCCAAATCTGAACCGATTTCCACGAAACTTATCACACATCATTCTAGACCTTATTCATTACGCTGTGCCAAATTTCGTGCAAATCGAAATATATATAGGTACTTTGATGCACCATTTACCTTAAATCGGATGAAAATATATATGGAAGCTATATCTAAATCTGGACGATTTTCAGGAAACTTAACACACATAATTCTAGACTTTATTCAGTACGATATGTCAAAATTTCGTGCAAATTGAAAGATATATAGGGACTTTGGTACACCATTTACCTTAAATCGGACGAAAATATATATGGGAGCTATATCAAAATCTGAACTGATTTTTCCCAATTTCAATAGGGGTCGTCCTTGGGCCAAATAAGTGACTTGTGCCAAATTTCATTCAAATCGGATTATAAATGCGACCTGTACTTTGTTTACAATTTAACATCTACAAACGGACAGACGGACGGACGGACGGACATGCATAAATCGACTCAGAAAGTGATTCTATGCATATTCTCAAAAGAAACTATGGGTCTATCTCGTTTCCTTTTGCCTGTTACAAACATATGCGCAAAGACATAATACCCTGTACCACAGTGTGGTGAAGGTTATAAAAATACACGCCTTGTGATGGTCCCTTAAATTTTTTTTTAATCCACGCCTTGTGATGGTTCCTTAAAATTTACTTTTTTTAATCCACGCCTTGTGATGGTCCATCCACCCCTATATAAAAATCTTCAAAAATAGTTTTTAATATATCCACGCCTATATATAAAAGGATCTTGAAAATTATTATTTAAAACCCCCACTCCTGAACATTAAAAAAAATCTAAGCCTCTTCCTAGGGTCCACAAATTTATTATTTAAACCAGTGAGCGAAGCATTATAGTCGGACGGGGCCGACCATACGATACCCTACACAAATTCCACGACATCTAACTTTCTGTGGTTCTATATTCTGAGCTTGGGCAATATTTCGCCTATATTTACACGCTCTTGACCGACTAGAGGTCAACAAATGTTATTAATATTCAGTATAGCCCTTCTAATTACTTGTCCAGATTCCGTGCACCGAGGGTTGTGTTGTGATGTTCGGCTATCAATTAAGGCCTATAGATCGACTCGGAAAAATAAAAAAAAAAATTAAGGTTTCGGTCCACTTCACCCCAAAATTATTATCTAATCATCACCGAAAATTATAGGCGCTTTACTTGACCATAAGTGGAACCTCATGGGAAATTTCAAAGCGATCAGCGCTATATTTCCGCCCTCTAGTGTGGTAATGGACTATTAAATAATATCTGAGTACGTAAGCACCTGTAAATATCCGACTACATACGACAATATAATTGGTATCAATTTAACGGTCACCCACTCCTCTTGGATATACTATAAACTTCTCGGGTCTATGTCCTTCAGGTGTAAACGCCATATATACGCCAAATTTTGTCATTTTTCACACAAAAGTCAGGGTCCATTTGACCCGCTAAATATTGACCGATCTTCATCAATCCCCTTCTCCATGTAAAAATTCGCGATGTTTGGGTCATAATTGAGGCCTCTGGAGCGACTAGAAAATCAGACAAAAATTTAGTATTTGGTCCATTTCATCCCCTAAATATTACCCGATCTTCACCAAAAACAATAGGGGTCTTCATTGGGCCGAATCCATCCTACATGCAAAATTTCATGAAGATTGGTCTATAACTGTAGCCTGTATCGTGCTTACAATTTATAATGGACGGACGGACACACATGTCTAGATCGACTCTAGACGAGATATGACGATCGGTATACTTAAAGGTGTGTCTAGGACTAATATTTCTCGGCGTTACAAACTCTTGGGGCTGCACTAAGCTATAATACCCTGACAACATAGTTGTGTATGGTATAAAAATCCAATACTTTTTTTAAATCAACGTCTAGAAAGAGAAAACTACGTCGACGATTTAAATTTTCAATCTAGTTGGTGTTGTAATCATCTTGAAATGCGGAATTTGAATATTATTTACATATTAATTTCAATATTTTTTATTTGAATTTCAAATCAAGGTTATCCCCTGCTAAAACTATCCCATTCCACTTCTACCCTTCATCACAAAATTACAATTCCCAAGAAATGATTGCGGTTTGAAAGGCTTGTCTCCGCCTGGCGAATCACCAGCACAAAAGATTCAGTTCTGTTAATTGTTTCTATAAATCGAATCAATTGATGTTAATTGAAATGAATTGTAAACGAAAGTTCGAACATCGAATTCATTCAGAACATATTTTTTATTTTCATATTTCAATAGCTGGCACAAAAACATGGAAGTCTGAAGTGGAGCGGCGGACAACAATAAGCCACGAGTTGACATTTCGAAATAAAGCTAAGGGATTGAAAAACAAGCAGAAAAGCAAACACAAATAAAAATGCCCCAATCCAATGGAACCAGTAGGGTGTCGCCTCAGCATACCCCCAAATTGGGGCAACACAATATGGCCTATGTCAAGGAGTCGAATGAGAACAATCATCAACGTCTAGCCTTGGAAAAGGACATGACAAACCAATTTCACATTCCAGGCAGTGCAGTAACGACACCTCAACCTCCTCCCACTTCAGCAGCATCCCCTCCCATGGATATAATTGGTCAAATTATTGGTGACTTTGGAGTGTGGCAACTACGCACGGTACTCATAATTTTCCTTTGTAAAATACCAGCCTCATGGTTTATGGCCTGTATAATTTTTACCGCTCCCGAATTATATCCAGAAAAAGAATTCCAGTGTAATTCCGAAGGTTTAACAGCAAATCAAACGATTTCACCCAACCAATGTTATATTGAGGACCCTGTGGAAGGGCGGCAAGAATGTACCCAATTCCTATATAATTTTGATTTCCAGTCACTTATCATGGAATTTGATTTGGTCTGCCTCAGGGATATTTTTGTGGCATGGACCCAATATTGGCATTTGTTTGGAGTGCTGGTGGGTGGTGTTGTGGCCACCAAAATGATGTTGTTGTAAGTACAAATTTTGTTCTATTGTTGTTTTTGTTTGACTCTTTGCTTTTTCCAGTGTCAGTCCCCGCAATGTTTATTTCATCGGGCAAATGGCCCAAATCATTTGTGGCATTGTAACCGGATATGCCCGAGACTTTAGCCTGCACTGTGCCTTCCGTTGCCTGTCAGCTGTTTGTTGTGCTATCATGTTTACCTCAGGACAAGCCATATGTAAGTAATTGAAAATGATGCGGGGTGGGGTTGTGAATTAAATTTTAAATATTCGCAAAACGAATGTTTATATGTTGAAATCATTTAAAAAGTAGGACTAGTTTTTAAGAAGATTTTTTTAAAAGGACCTTCTATTCTCGGTTTCAAATTTCGACAATTTTCAATGACCTGACAAATTAAAATGGACATTTTTTAAAGATAATTAAAATCGTGACAAATTTATGGTAATTGCTGAACATTGGATATTCGCTAAATCAGCCGGGATAAAGAGTGATTTGTTAAGAGCTTGATAACTTTAAAAAAAAAACGCATAAAATTTGCAAAATCTCATCGGTTCTTTATTTGAAACGTTAGATTGGTCCATGACATTTACTTTTTGAAGATAATTTCATTTAAATGTTGACCGCGGCTGCGTCTTAGGTGGTCCATTCGGAAAGTCCAATTTTGGGCAACTTTTTCGAGAATTTCGGCCGGAATAGCCCGAATTTCTTCGGAAATGTTGTCTTCCAAAGCTGGAATAGTTGCTGGCTTATTTCTGTAGACTTTAGACTTGATCGCATGATCTTGGTGGCCAACTTACCGGTCCATTTCTTGAGATGAATTGTTCTCCGAAGTTTTCCCTCAAAATGGCCATAGAATCGCGAGCTGTGTGGCATGTAGCGCCATCTTGTTGAAACCACATGTCAACCAAGTTCAGTTCTTCCATTTTTGGCAACAAAAAGTTTGTTAGCATCGAACGATAGCGATCGCCATTCACCGTAACGTTGCGTCCAACAGCATCTTTGAAAAAATACGGTCCAATGATTCCACCAGCGTACAAACCACACCAAACAGTGTATTTTTCGGGATGCATGGGCAGTTCTTGAACGGCTTCTGGTTGCTCTTCACTCCAAATGCGGCAATTTTGCTTATTTACGTAGCCATTCAACCAGAAATGAGCCTCATCGCTGAACAAAATTTGTCGATAAAAAAGCGGATTTTCTGCAAACTTTTCTAGGGCCCATTCACTGAAAATTCGACGTTGTGGCATATCGTTCGGCTTCAGTTCTTGCACGAGCTGTATTTTATACGGTTTTACACCAAGATCTTTGCGTAAAATCTTCCATGCGGTCGAATAACACAAACCCAATTGCTGCGAACGGCGACGAATCGACATTTCACGGTCTTCAGCAAAACTCTCAGAAACAGACGCAATATTCTCTTCTGTACGCATTCGTGTGGTTGGTTTAATGTCCAATAAAGTAAACTGAGTGCGAAACTTGGTCACAATCGCATTAATTGTTTGCTCACTTGGTCGATTATGTAGACCATAAATCGGACGTAAAGCGCGAAACACATTTCGAACCGAACACTGATTTTGGTAATAAAATTCAATGATTTGCAAGCGTTGCTCGTTAGTAAGTCTATTCATGATGAAATGTCAAAGCATACTGAGCATCTTTCCCTTTGACACCATGTCTGAAATCCCACGTGATCTGTCAAATACTAATGCATGAAAATCCTAACCTCAAAAAATCACCCTTTATTTATACGGGGTCTATATTATTGCATTGTATGCTAAATGAAGTTCTGAATTGTAGATATTCAGCTTAGAAAACAGAGATAGGTAATTAAACACTCGAAAATTGTGCAGGACCACTGTATGGGGTCTATTGAAACATATGGACCTACACAGAAACTTTTCGGGGAAGAATTATATTATTTATCAGGAATTTTAAATGCCGGGTACTTCAGTATAAAATTGGGGCCTGGAAAAGCATAGACCCAAATAGAACCATTTATACAAAGGCCAAATTAGAGCATCTTCCTTGGAAAATTGCGGTCAAGACCTCAAAAATATCAAATGAGCGGGATCATTAGGGCGGCTAAACAAAAATGGTATTACAAAAAATCTGCAGATATATGTTCTCTGCGATTTCGCATTTCGGTATCATTCAATGAGAATATTAGGTTCAAATTTTCCGAATATCGGAACTTTTAAATGGGGGCTACAGAAGACTTCAAGCGGGTCTTCAAGGTTCTGAAATTTGTTGAAGGTTTTCTAGCTATAGAAGTAAAAGGGCTTATAATTCATTTGGGAGGTCTTATAGATATAGAAGTCCTGTATATGGTATGGAGGACTCGACAAGGTTTTTTTAGCCACAAAAGACATCTGAAAGGTCTTCTAGACACAGAACATCCCTACTAGCTATAGAAGTCCTCAGGAAGGTATTCTAGCCAAAGAGAAAATGTGATATTCTATACCTCCAATAGATTAATGGCATTTTAATGGCTCTCCGTCGATAAAAGTTCTCAGAACCTATAGAACGTGGCCAATTTCTAAAATTCCTCTCCGTTCTGTAAATAATTACTGATAGACCTCGACTTTCGGGACGTCTTTTGCAAAGGTAATGTTAAGGGACCGTAAAATACTTTAATGTCTATGAAGGCCATTGGGATGTCGGAGTAATATCTCAAAGTTCTTCCATACAAATCTCCAAACGGTCTTTTGTCTTTAGAAAACATATAGAAGATATTTCTCGGAAAGGTTTTCCTGGCCATGGAGGATCTCCTAAAGCTTTTAGTCATTGAAGATATTCGGAAGATCTTCTCTGTAAGGTCTTCTGGTTATAGAAGTTCTCGGAAAGGTTTTCCTTGTGTAGAAATCCTCAAAGGGGTCTTTACATGACCTCTAGAGCATTTTATGTCTATGTAGGCCATTGAGAGGTCGATATAATCTCTCGAAGTTCTTCTATAGAAATCTACAAACGGTCTTTTGTCTTTAGAAAACCTATAGAAGATATTCTATCTATAAGAGAAACACTTAGAAGATATTATACCTTTAGAGAACCTTCAGAAAGTCTTCTGTAGCTCCAGGACCATCAGAATGTTTTCTATAGCTATAGGTACTATAAGTATTCTGACTATAAATCACTATAAAATATTTAATCCTATGGAAGTCCTTCTGGCCATGGAGGATCTCCTAAAGTTTTTTAGTCATTGAAGAGATTCGGAAGATCTTCTCTGGAAGGTTTTCTGGTTATAGAATTTCTCGGGAAGGTTTTCCTGGGGTAGAAATCCTCAAGAGGGTCTTTACATGGCCTCTCGAGCATTTTATGTCTATTAAGGCCATTGAGAGGTCGATGTAATCTCTCGAAGTTCATCTATAGAAATCTACAAACGGTCTTTTGTCTTTAGAAAACATATAGAAGAGGTATTATGCCTGTAGAGAACCTTCCGAAAGTCTTCTGTAAGTCTAGGACCATCAGAATGTTTTTCTATAGCTATAGGTACTACAAATATTCTGCCTATAAACCACTAAAAATATTTGGCTAGTCTTTGCCTATATTGGATCTTTAGTAGACCTTCTGATTATAGAAGTGGTTTGTCTATATAAGACCTGCAGACGGTCTTCAAGCAATCAATATAAGACCTCTGAAGGGAACATAAGGTATGTTTCTGGCTAAATAGAAGATCTGTAGACTTAATTATATACATAGATGATACTATGCCTGTAGAGAACCTTCAGGAAGTCTTCTGTTTGTACACGGCCTGTAGAAGATCAGTAAAAATTATTTCGCTTAGCCTTCCCCCTATATCAGGCCTTTAGCAGGCTTTCTGATAGGGCTTTTAGTTGGCCTTCTGTTTCAGTCTACATGAGACCTATAAACGGGCTTCAATTTATGGAGAATCTATAGACTACCTCTGAAGAGAACTTTAAGTATGTTTCTGGCTAAATAGGAGATCTGTCTATAAAAGTTCCCTGGCAGCTGTTCTGTTAAAGGAAAACCTCTAGCATGTAGTGTGTTCGTAGAACACCAAAATAATGTCTTCTGTTTACGAAAAACCTATTGATGGTAGTCTGCCTGTAGAAGACATTATATTTGGTGAGACATTATATATGACCTTCCAACTCAAAAACATCTATAGAAGTTGTTCTGTGGAACGGCTTTCCCTTGGTGTATTGGTTTTGTTACTCGAAATCGGGTTGCCCCACAGTCGCCTTTCTAGAGGCCTTTTTACTGACTCTTCTTCTGGACAATATAGATACAACATTACCTTCCTGTGGATTGGTCTATGGTGCTAGGGATCTCTCGTCATTCAGAGACACCATCGAAGGTTCTCTTGATTACAGATTCCTGATTTCATTCTGAAATGTAGTTCGATGAACCGGTAGCAGAATTTTTTTGTACTTCGTTGTCATTGACACATTTGGTGATAGATTCTTCTGATGAATTCTCTATTGTTCAATGGGAAGATGATCGGCATCCATATCCATCTTAATAGTACATTGCCTAATTTATCAGGGACAAATTAAATCGCTCTCTAGTGAAGATCGGTAAAATGTTCTCTAGATTTATGTATATATATATATATATATATATGGTTCTCGATATTATATTAAAGGAATTATAGAAGGTCTTCAAATCACAGGAATTCTGACACCTCATTATAAGTGTCTAGTTTGCATTTAACGACCAAAAATTCAATAACGCCTAAAAGTATGTTTGCTCGATTACAGCTAAGGGGCTTGGTGCTCAACGACTTATTTTAAATGAGAACATGTTCTAATTTTCAATTATATTTTTATTTTATCACATTATTTTTTTAAATAAGTTCGATTACTTATTTATTCTATTTCTTTTTCCCAAATTTTCCTCCTTCATTCCTTCCAGTCGCTGATATTACATCTGGCATCTATCGTATTGGTGCAATAATACTCTATGACACCTTTTGGTCATTGGGTGTCATCTTCCTGCCCTCTCTTAGTGCCTTCTTCAACAGTTGGACTCACATCTATTTGGGTATAACATTTCCAACATTATTTTTAACTCTTCTACTACAATGGACCCCCGAATCTCCAAGATGGCTGCTGAAAAATGGCTGTGATAAAGATGTGGCGAGAGTAGAGGCTATAATACGGGAGGGAGCTGGTATCAATGATCGCCTATGTAAAATTCCTGCAGATTTTCATCATCAGTTACAACAATTAAGGGAGAAATTACGGTCTGCCCCAGCACCAGCAAAGTGGTTAGATTTGTGGAAAGGTCCTCGGGCCAAGGTCCATATGATTGCCGCTCATTTGGCCTTGGCTGCTTTCATTATAAATTTCATGGGCATGTTGCTGAATATTCGTTCATTTGGCCGCGACTACTTGGTGCCGAACACTGTGGCAATGGGTAAGTGTGGGAAGGAAGGGATGGAGTCTTTTGGATGAATTTTTAATTGATTTTGCAATTTTAGGTTTCTCTGAAATCTTTGGCTGCTTCTTGGCCTTGCATTTTACTTTGCGGCACAACAAATGGAAGTGGCAATGTGCTGGAGTTTTCAATATTATAGCTGGTCTTATTGGCTGCCTGGGATGGCTCTTCAGTCATTCGGAAAGTAAGTTGAAAGGGATTTACGTTTTAAAGGTCATGCAGCTAAAAATATGTAAAACCCGAGCAAAGTCTTCTGGCTATCCAATGTGCAAGAGTCCTAAACTGCTCAAAAGTCTCCTAGCTATAGGAAACCTTAAACAAGTTCTCTGGAACGCCTTCTCGTCATGGAGGATCTCCGGAAGTTTTTCTAGACATTGAAAATATTCGGAAGATCTTCTCTGGAAGGGAGGTCTTCTCTTCTGGTTATAGAAGTTCTCTGGGAGGGTTTCCTGGTGTAGAAGGTGTTTTAGTCACCTAAGACCTTTGGGATTATCTTCAAAAGATATCCCGAGACCTATGGAAGGTTTTCAAGCCCTAAAAGACCTTTGGAACGTTTTCTGGTCGACCTCAGAAAAGTCCCTTGGGAGCTCTTCTGGTTATGGAAGATCTCCTAAAGTTTTTTAGTCATTGAAGAGATTCGAAAGGTCTTCTCTGGTAGGTCTTCTGATTATAAATGTTCTCTGGAAGGTTTTTCTGGTGTAGAAGTCCTCAAGAGGGTCTTTACATGACCTCTAGAGCATTTTATGTCTATGAAGGCCATTGAGAGGTCGATGTAATCTCTCGAAGTTCTTCTATAGAAATCTACAACTTCTTCATTTATGACCATAAAAGACCTCTGGAAGGTGTTTTAGACACCTAACGCCTTTGGTAGGTCTTCTAGACGCAAACGACCTTCGGGAGTTCCTTTCGATATAGTAGGCTTCTATATGGTCTTCTAAATGTAAGTGACCTATGGAATATTTTCTAGCCCTAAAAGGCTCTGGAATGTTTTCTGGTAGTATAGTATAGATCTAGAAGGTCTTCTGGCTATTGAATCCTATAAGTCATCTTCCATATATGAAATACCTCTGTAAGATCTTCTAACCGATGATTACTGCTGGCAAGTGTTTTTGACTAGGTGGTCCTCTGTAAGGTCTTCGAGCCATAGAAGTTCACTGGAAGTTATTCTAACCAAAGTTCTCTGGTCCTCTGAAAGGTCTTCTAGACATAACAGACTTGTGGGGGGACTACTAGATACGCGAGGCATCTGCAGGGAGGCCATAGAAAGCATTTGATAGGTCTTCTAAACCTTGAAGACATACCTAATGTCTTCTATACCCATAACTCTAACAGACTTTCTACAGACCTCTGTCTGATTCTCTAGTCATAAAAGATTTCTGCAAAGTATTTTTCACTTGGCGAGCCTTTGGAAGGTCCATTAAAGTTCACTGAAAGGTCTCCTAGCCTAAGTTCTCTGGTCCCCTGAAAGGCATTCTAGCCATAACATACTTTTGGAGGGACTTCTAGATATCTGAAGGTCTTCTAAACTAAGAAGACATTCCTAATGTCTTCCATACCATTAACTCTAACAGACCTTCTAGTTATCACAGACATCTGTGTGATCCTCTAGTTATACAAGACCTCTGCAAAGTATTTTTGACTAGGTAAGCCTTTAAAAGGACCATAGAAGTTCACAGAAAGGTCACCTAGCTAAAGTTCTCTGGTCCCCTGAAAGGTATTCTAGCCATAACAGACTTATGGAGGGACTTCTAGATATCTGAGGTATCTGCAAGGAGGCTATAGAAGGCATTTGAAACCTAAACCTAGAAGACATTCCTGAAACCTTCTATACTCTTAACTCTAACAGACCTTCTAGGTATTACAAATCTCTCTGTGATCCTCTAGTCATAAAAGACCTCTGCAAAGTATTTTTGACTAGGTGGGCCTTTGGAAGGTCCATAGAAGTACATTGAAAGGTCTCCTAGCCAAAGTTCTCTGCCCCCTGAAAGGTATTCTATCCATAACAGACATTTGGGTGAACTCCTAGAATATATTCCTAAGTTTTTCTATATCCATTACTCTAGTAGCCAAAGCGTAGATTTTTTTAAAAAATATTTTTTCAAGGCTAGTCAAAGCGTAGATTTTTTCAACTCTAACCGAACTTCTAGGTATTAACAAGTTATCCTGAAGTCATAAAAGACCTCTGAAAGGCCTTCTCCCTTTCCTATATCTTCTATAGATATAACTCTGACAGGTTTTCTAAGTATAGAAGACCTCTACAATGCATCTAGCTATAAAATACCTCTAGAAGTTATACAATATAAGACAACTCAGAAATGTCTTCTAACGAAGGTAACCTATTCTAAGTTTCTGTAAGTTTGCTATCTTCGAAAAGTCTTTCGGCTATATTAGACTTCATAAGGTATTAAAACTACAAAAGACTCCAGTTATAGAAGACATCCAGAAGGTGTTTAGCAGTATAAGGCCTCTGAGTGGCCTTCTACATATAAAAGAGGCCTGTCTAAGAGACCTTTAAAATCGAAAAAACATTTCTACCTTGCAATAATTCCCTTTAATTTCCCTTTTCTCCTCTTGCAGTGGATCCCGAGCTGAAAGTCACCCTGTGGATGATAATTGCCACCATACCCAAAATGGGTGTCTCCTGTGCCCAATCGATGATACTGGCCTGCATGGCTGAAGTTATGCCAGCCAATAAGAAAATACCATATGTTTTCTCTGTGGTGACATGGGCTCGAGTTTGGCTACTCTCAGCACCCTTTATAAATGTTCTAAAGAAAATCGATGTTGCATTTTCGTTAAGTGCCTATTGTTGGCTGAGTATATTTGGTGGCATCTGTACGTGTTTAATGTTAACACCACGAGCACCCGCGGCGCCAACACAACAAAATGCAGATACAATTCCTGAGAAAAAAGATATATCACCGTTGCCGAAACCCGTGTGGACTGTCGACATGGATATAAGTAATACTCAGCTGTAGGATGTACAGGAGCCGAAGAAGAATGAATCAGGTCCTAAATATTGGATATTTTAGCACAAAATAAGTAGTTAAATTAGTTTGTAAGTTTTGTAAGTCCGAAAAGTGATAGGAACAGATATTTCATGAAGTGTACTTAAAACTCCCAAGAGTATTGTTATTATTTTTTATTTTTGTATATAAGTATTTTTTATATTTTTAAAATAAATATTTTATTTAATGTGATGATTCTAAATATATATACCAAGATATCGAATATATAAAATTGTGTTTTAGAATTTTAAAAATGCAATTCATTGTTAGTCAGAAATGAACTATAGGTTCACGATTTTGTATTTTTTAATTATTAATTTTAAGTCACCATTCAGCCTAGACCTTTATAAAAATGTTCCTTATATATGAGAGGCATGCACAAAATCAATGGAAATTTATGCAAGAAATAGCATGCTTAAATGTAAAACATTGTAGCCCCAGTCACGCAAATTTTAATCTTGCTTAGACCTTAAGAGATGATTTATTGCCTGATAAGGAAAATTTAAAATGAAGGAGAGGTTTAAAAAGATGTGGAAAAGTAAATAGTTACTAATGGATAAAATTCAGACATGAATTACCAGGGCGGCGAAATAGGTTAATCTTTTAGTCAATAAAGATATATTCACGGCAAATATCCGACAATTCCTCTCTTTAATTTTTTTCACCGCAAACTCAGCTCCAGATACTTTCTGGAAATTGGAAATGTGTATATGTGATTTGCCACGTTCCTCTGTAGATCCTTACTGTCTTTGGTGGGCATTTGCCTAAGAAACTCACCGAGTTCGCAACCACACCTCGAGCTACTTTCTGTGAATTGGATAAAAACCAACTACTCTCTCTGGACACATCCTTTTTTATCGCAACCCCATATCACGTTCGGTCTCAGCTTATCGACGGATCTACTCGGAAGAAGGCAAACCTTCCGAAATCCGTTTTAACTTTCAAGGATTTTACAATATGGTTCGCTGCAGTACTTTCTGTACGCAATCTCTCTTCATCTGTCACCAAATTAACCCTTAAGTTCGGGAACTTGTTTTTTTAGGTCACAACAATTCGACCTCAGAATGCTCATTCCTTAACCATTCACCAGTTCATACTGGGCGTTTATCATCATCTCTCCAAATATCTGCCGATTTCGTCACCCAAACTGAACCTACTGCAATTGTCGGCCTCTGCTTACCGGCCACATAGTACTCAACACCGGTGAAATGCGGCTCGTCTTCCAAGCCGCAACATTTGTATTTATCGGTAACATACTAATCATTCTTTTCATCGCGAACTTATCATATACGGATTCTGCTGCTCGATGTTACTTCGCCTTTCGAAAGTTTAATTTCTTCCACTTCCCTGGATTTCACGATGTGATTAGCTGCAACTCTTGCTGTACTCGCATTCTTCTCAGCTACCACCAATACACTTATGTTCGAGAACTTTTTTTGTAGTTCTCCTCTCAGCCTTTCAATGACTGCAAAATTTCTTAAAGGACAAAATTGGTATCTACTGGTGTCTTCAGGGTACATCAGCTCGCGCTCTTTTCTGGTAATTAAAAAAATATATAAATATTTGGTCTTTAACTTACCCTCTGTAGCCTTTTACTGTCATTGACGACATACAGCTGCCCCTCCAAAGAAGTCACACCTTCCGAGACTTGTTTTACTTCCACTTCCAAAGATTTCAGAATGTGGATCGTTGCAATACTTGCTGTATGCGTTTCCACCTCAACTACCAGCAAATCACACTAGTTTTTTATATCATGGCTTTATGGTTCAACCTTACGACCCCATTTTTATAGAAAAAATCACATAGAAAATTCTATATAAAAATTCAAAAACATTTTTTTGTAGATCCCCGCAATCTCACCCACACATACCATATGAGGCAATAGAAAATGCTCTCTTATTTCTAAATACAAACATTAATTAAGAAATATCTCTTATCTAAAGTGGACTGTATAAAAATATATCCCTGTTTACTACAATTTTCTCATTTTTAAACAAGAAACCCACAGCAAGAAATTCACTATTTATACCCTACACAACTATGTTGTCAGGGTATTATAGCTTTGTGCAGCCCCAAAAGTTTGTAACGCCGCGAAATATTGGTCCTAGACCCACCTTTAAGTATACCGATCGTCATATCTCGACTAGCTAAGTCGATCTAGACATGTGTGTCCGTCCGTATGTCCATTATAATTTGTAAACACGATACAGGCCACAGTTATGGACCAATCTTCACGAAATTTTGCATGTAGGATGGGTTCTGGCCAATGAAGACCCCTACTGTTTTTGGGAAAGATCTATTAATATTTAGGGGATGAAATGGACCAAATACTAAATTTTTGTCGGTTTTTCTGGTCGCTCCAGAGGCCGCAATTATGGCCCAAACATCGTGAAATTTTCCACGGAGAAGGGGATCAGGCCAAAGAATAAGCATGCCTGTTTTCATAAAGATCGGTCAATATTTAGTGGGTCAAATGGACCCTGACTTTTGTGTGAAAAATGACAAAATTTGTATTCTATAGCGTATATATTTATCCCTGAAGGACATAGACCCGAGAAGTTTATATTATATCCAAGAGGAGTGGTTGACTTTTAAATTAATACCAATTATATTGTTGTATGTGCTCGGATGTGGGAGTTACTCCTAAATATTTACAGGTATCTCCGTATTCGTATATTATTTAGTAACCCATTATAACTCTAGAGAGCGGAACTATAGCGCTGATCGCTTTGAAATGTTCCATGAGGTTCCAGTTATGGTCAAGGACAACGCCTATAATTTTCGGTGATGATCAGATAATAATTTTGGAATGAAGTGGACCGAAAACTTAATTTGTTTGTGTTATTATCGAGTCGATCTATAGACCACAAATGAAAGCCGAACATCACAACACAACCCACGGTGAAGGGAATCTGGACAATAGCTGTACTGAATACTCGTAATATTCGGAAAATATGTCAGTTTGAGGAAGAGTTGCTGTTTACCACTAATCGGGCAAGAGGGTGCAAATATCACGAATTATTGCCCAGGCTCGGAATATACATCCGCAGAAAATTTGAGTTCCGTGGTAGTTGTGTAGGGTATCGTATGGTTGGCCCCGTCCGACTATACTGCTCCGCTCACTGGTTTTATTAAGCGAAAATTCCTGTTCGCTACCTGAACATTGAACGCTCTTCTAATTCTTCTAGGTATAGAAGACCTCCCTTTGATCCTCTAATCATAAAAGGCTTCGGGAAGGCCTTCCGCCTTTCCGATGTCTTCTATAGCTATAACTCTGACAGATTTTCTAAGTATAGAATACCTCTAGAAGGTCTTCTTGCTAAATTTGACTCATAGGAGACTCCTCTAAGTGGTCCTTGAAATCTCTCTTTCAGTGGATCCCGAGCTGAAGATCACCAATTGGATGATAATAACCACATGTCCTACAAAAACAAGTTTCTATAGACTAAAATGGGACCTGCACGTCTGTGATTTTTTTTTCTATAGAAAAAATAGGACCTGAGGGTCTGTAAATTATTTTTCTAAAGAAAAGAATTAAAAAATGGATTTTTATAGAAAATAGGACCTGAGGGTCTGTAAATTATTTTTCTAAAGAAAAGAATTCAAAAATGGCTTTTATAGATCATGGCTTTATGGTTAAGCTTTACGACCCGTTCCAACTGGGCGTTCAATGACGTTCAATGTTACTTATATAAAGGCAACATTGACATATTCCATAAACTTCAGAATACATTCTGGCTCATTACTCGTAGTTTTGCAATTTCAAGTCCTGCTTCTTCTAATTTTTGGTTAAATTTTAAATATGAAGCCTCGGTTAGACTATTTATTTTCTTATTCAAATATTGAACCGTCAACCGTTCACGAATCGAATCATGTCAAACCAATGGCTTGTTCACGTGCAGTAGCATATGATGCCTTGACCTTCATCGATGTCGAATAAAACAAATTGTCAACAGGGCCTCATTAGCTAAAGTCTCGTTCATGTGCAGTTTATAATTCAAATTTTGTCCCTATAGTGAACTAGGCAGAAGCAGAAAATTCGGAATTCTTAAAGTTTGACTATTGTTTCTGATGATGCCGTAGGTAACAACTTTCTATATTTCATCATCTTCTGGATATGACCTCACCTTTCTGTCTGCATCCTCCTGGTTTAAGTCTCATCTCAAGTGAACTGTATACAGAAATAGATCCCTGTTTAACAAAATTCTCTCTCATCTACTTAAAAAATCGCCATAATGAAAATATGCACAGCAAGACGTACCAATGACTTTTTTTAATTCCCGAACTAGTTGAATTGAACGATTCCCCGAAAAGAGGCAGGACTAGGTTAGACTCAACTATAATCAACGATTTTCGTTCAGTTTTTAACGAAGAATTCACTTATTCTTCGTACTATATTCCATCACCTGGTGCGCTACTCCGCAGACATGGCAAGACTCTTGAACTGTGTTGAATCATATCTCAAACTTCTCTTAGGGATATATATGACTTGATAATCTTTTTGTCTTCAGTTCTTATCTCATGTGGAGAGTATACAAAAATAGATCCCTGTTTAGCTAAAGTCTCTCTCATCTACATAAGAAGTCCCCAGTATGTCAGCTCTTGACTTTATCGGATAATCATTTTGGAAAGATAGTTCAAATATATTTTCTTTGAGTGTAATATTTGAATAATATACTTGAATTATTTTAAAGAGATTTTAATCGCTGAACAATTAAAAAGTATTTGGATTTTTCATACATATTAAATCAACTTTAATATTTCGGTACCGTAATCAAATGAAAATCCGCATGCTGTTAAGCTAGTTTTTCCAACGCAGAGATAGAAAGCTTTCGCGTAATACTCGTACCACACTGCAACTGCACAAAAAACTTTCTTCATTGCAACAAAACGAAGCGTTTAGTTTACTCAAAGGCTTCAAAGTGTGCAAACATTCGAACATAATTTGTCGGAAACATAAGCGGATTGTAGCGGAGAAAATATTAGATTTGTATTTTTTGTTAAACAAAGAAAAGAAAAGTGTCGTTAATGTTTGGGGAAGTTTGGGAATAATAATGGAATTTTATCAGGATGCAGTTATATTTGTGACAGGTGAGTAAGTAAATAATGTTGAAAGTCGGGTGTTTACGTTACATTGAATCTCTACTTAAACTGACAGGGAACTATGTTAATAGGCTTTTAATCTCCATTAAGTCGATTTTCAATATTTTTCGCATTTGTTATATGGCACCTAGGAACTTTAAAATATTTAAGTATCCCGAAATTAAACAACATATAAATAATATTCTTCGAAAATAAAAAAGTTCCAATTTCGAATTGAAAATGTGACTGAATTTAAAAATACCTTAAATCGACAGAAACCTTATATTGAGGGTATGTAAATACCTCGACATATATTTTCTGGCAAATAAATAGAACCTGAATCCCACTAAAAAATTCCCAGAACTATTCAATTATCCAAAATTGAATTCTATTGTGATTCCATGATATCAATATCGAACATTTCAAGGCGTTGAAAAGGAAATTATAGGTTTGATTATACCATATAACTTTAAATGCAAATACGCCAAGATAATTCGTAGCAGACATTTCTAGGATAAAATTAAATTTCAGGAATACTTTCCACCGATACCGATGGGACGCAGTTTCGAATCACTACGGAGAAAGCAAAAATCATTCACAGTGGTTTTCGAAAATTTTTAAAAAGAGGCACACACCTTTTCCAGATGTGTCCCAAGACCACTGGTATTTAAATAATAAAACTCGGCAGCAAAAGCAACACATGAGGATAACACAAAATTGAAAAGGCAGGAGATAACGCCATCCGGACGAAAATGCCAAAACTACATTAGCAAGGTCATCACCCACGATACAACATTATTGAAGTTGTTTCCAGATTAAATATATTTGAAGCCTCTTTACATTAAGAACAAACATTTGCGTCAGCACATGGACATGACACAAAATAGGTATAGCAAGAGATAACGCCACCCAGTAGAATATGGCAACACTGGTTATGCAAGGACACCAACCACTGCACATAATTCAATTAGGCCCTGTTTCTAGGCAACGATAGATGGCAGCCCCATCTCACACGATATGCTACATCAGACCAATCATCTACTTAGCTAGAATAAAAACAATGAATGGATGAACGAAAATAAAACAAGGATTAGTCGATTAAGATGGCGATGTTTTGTGGAAGACATATGATCCCAGATTTGAATCCCAGCGGATTAGCAAAAATGCTTTCAAAGTGGTTATAAATATAAGTCCCTTGACATTCTGATAACCAACCTCGACATCATCACAATAGGGTAGCACAAAATAGGTATGGCAGGAGGTAACGCCATCCAGAGGAAAATAGCTTAAGCAAGGACACCAAAAGGACAGTGCAAAATCCAAAAAGGCGTTGTTTCCATGCAACGGCAGATGACAATCACATAGGAGAGGCTACAACAGACCAATCATCTACTTAGCAGGAATAAAAAGTAATGATAACGAAACATACACAAGGACTAATCGAGTAAGATGTCGATGGGGAAGCCCTATGCTTGCAAGAGGAGTAATAAGAGAGAAAAACTAGATCTCATCAGGTTCGAATCCCAGCGAAGTAGGGAAAATTATTTCAAAGTGACTTTTGAATATGCTTAGTGAATTGTCCGAAGAGGAGTAACATGAGAGAGAAATTCACAGAAAAATTAGATCACACCATGTTTGAATCCCAGCAGAGATGGACAAATTCTTTCAAATGGTTTCTTGAATATTTGCTAATATAGATACACACCTTCTTCAGATGAAATGCATCCGAAGCCCTTGACATTCGGGTAATTAAACTCGGCATCAATGCATATATCACAAAATAGAAGTGGCAGGAGATAGCGCCACTCAGAGGAAAATAGTTTAACCAAGGACACCAAACACTGCAAAATCCAAGGAGGTTTTTTCTAGGTAACGACAGACGGCAGCCCCATATCACATTGGGCAGGCTACAGCAGATCAATCATCTAATGAGCTGGAATAAAAAACAATGATACCGAGATGTCGATGCGAGAGAAAAAAAATCCTAGAAAAATTAAATCTCACCAGTTTCAAATCTAAGCGAAGTAGGAAACAATAGTTTTGAAGAGATTTTTGAATATTTGTTAATAGAGAACGCACCTTCTTGACATAAAATGCATCCGAAGTTCCTGACATTCTGGTTACCAAATAAGAATGACTAGAGGTAGAGCCAGCCAGAGAAAAATGCCAACACTAAGTAAGCAAGGATTCCAACCAAGAAGATATTGTTTCTTGGCAGCGACAGATGATAGCCCCGTCAGACTACAGCAGACTAATCATGTACTTTGCTGGAATAAAAACGATGATAGCGAAACTAAAGAATGGTCCCAAGAAGATTAAAATGAGAGAAAAATTAGTTCTTTCCAAGTTCGAATCCGAAGAAATTCGCTGTAATATTTGATAATAGACACACATTCATCAGAATCTGGTCCCTGATATAGGAGTGGAAGGAGGAACACCACCCAGTGGAAAATGGCAAAACTTCTTAAACAAGGTCCTCAACCATGGCACAAAATTTGAGAAGTTGTTTTTAGGCAACGACAGATGGCAGCCACATTACATAGGATGGGCTAAGGCGGACTAATCATGTACTTTGCTGGAATAAAAAACAAAGATAACGAAACTACCACAGGGACTAATCGAGTATACAGAGCGATTATTTCGAAGTGATTTTGGAATATATGTTTTATAGAGATAAAATGTACCCGAAGTCCATGACAAATCAGAATGCCTAGAGATAGAACCAGCGAGAAGAAAATGTAACACTAAGTAAGCAAGGATCCCAACCACTGTACAAGATTTAAGGTGGTGTAGTTTCTAGGCAACGATAGATGGCAGTCTCATTACATAGGGCAGGATACAGCAGATCAATAATATACTTAGCTGGAATAAGAAAAACAGGGACTAATCAAGTAAAATGGTGATGCTAACACGATAAATAAATTAGATATCACCAGATTCGAATCCCAGCGGAGTAGGACAAATTCTTCGAAGTGGCTACATAAATTCGATGCATGCCATTGGTAATTTGCTGTCCTTATTTATTTTTCATATTAAGATCTAGAGTTAAGAGGAAATTTTAAATAAATTGAGTTCCCTTCGAACCACGAACCGTACATCGACCATATCTGTTTATTTTCTCTTTGTCGCACTTGTGATGAGTTGTGATATCGATTCAAAATATTTTAAAAAATAAGTTCGTATGCTATGGAAATTAATAATTTTTTACTTATAACAGTTAATAGAAATGTTTTTAATTGCAATTAATTTCACTTTTGTCAATTTTACTTCTTATCTAACCAAAACAACATTTCTTCTTCAAGCACACACAAATCCAACTCCCCTTCCTTCCCCGTCCCCTCAATAAACACTTTCATAATCACTCGACTTTGCAGTCATATCAATTGAATGATTCGGAGAGTGGATCATGCAACATCGTCATCATGTTGTCCGATCATGCAATAACAAACTACTTATTTACCCCTCTCCTTCTCCTGCAATCCACCACATTTTAATTCAAGTTTAATATACGATTTTTCCTCTTCATCGTTCCGTTGCATTGCAGGTGCCACCGGTTTTGTGGGCAAAACTTTACTGGAAAAGCTTCTATGGAGTTTTCCACAGCTCAGCTGTATTTATATTTTGATACGCGAGAAAAATGGTAAAACTGCCCAGCAACGATTCAATGAATTTTGTCAACATAAGATCTTTGAACGTTTGCGTCAGCATTATCCGCAACGTTTGCGTAAGCTGCGTTTTTTGGCGGGAGATATTGAAAAGGAAGATTTTGGTATGATAAGATTTGGAAATTTTAAGTGAAAAGAAATAAATTTGTAATTTTTTGGTAGGTCTCAGTAATGTCGACAAAAAAATCTTGTGTGCCGAGGTGAACATAATTTTTCATAGTGCCGCCACAGTTCGCTTCAATGAACGTCTAAAGGTTGCCGCAATTGTAAATTCCGTGGCCACATGGAATCTATTGGAGATGTGTAAGGATATGCCGCTGCTAAAGGTCAGTAAAAATTGGATTTGTGGGTCGTTGAATCTTTTTCTATAGAAAAAAAACCCGAGGGTCTGTAAAAAAAATCCGACCTGAGGGTCTTTGAATTTTTTTCTATAGAAAAAAATCAGACCTGAGGGTCTGTGCGAATTTTTTTCTATAGAAAAAAATCAGACCTGAGTGTCTGTGAATTTTTTCTATAGAAAAAAATCAGACCTGAGGGTCTGTGCGAATTTTTTTCTATAGAAAAAAATCAGACCTGAGGGTCTGTGCGAATTTTTTTCTATAGAAAAAAATCAGACCTGAGGATCTGTGCGAATTTTTTTCTATAGAAAAAAATCAGACCTGAGGGTCTGTGCGAATTTTTTTCTATAGAAAAAAATCAGACCTGAGGGTCTGTGCGAATTTTTTTCTATAGAAAAAAATCAGACCTGAGGGTCTGTGCGAATTTTTTTCTATAGAAAAAAATCAGACCTGAGGGTCTGTGCGAATTTTTTTCTATAGAAAAAAATCAGACCTGAGGGTCTGTGCGAATTTTTTTCTATAGAAAAAAAATCAGACCTGAGGGTCTGTGCGAATTTTTTTCTATAGAAAAAAATCAGAATCAGAAAATCAGATAGAAAAATAAATCATACCTGAAAAATTAGACCTGAGGTCTGCGAATTTTTTTCTATAGAAAAAAATCAGACCTGAGCGTCTGCGGATCTTCTGATCCAAATATTTTTTGAAGTAATGTTTTAGATCTTGTTTCTTGTAGAGTTTCGTTTATGTTTCAACGGCATATTGCAATCCGGGACGGAAATATGTTGACGAAGAAATCTACCCTACCCTGCCACCAGTCAATTGGAAATATTTTGTGGACTGTGCCTTAAAAATACCCGACGAGTACTTTAATAGTTTGGCCAATTATATCAAGGTAGGATTCGAATACCTAAAGATTTTTTTAAGAATTAAAATTGGTCTTCCAGGGTCCTCATCCGAACACTTATACCTTCACAAAATCGATTGCCGAACAAATTGTCAACGATTATAAACATCGCCTGCCAATTGTCATTGTACGGCCTTCTATAGTGACAGCATCATATCGTGAACCCTATCCCGGTTGGATTGATAATATTCAGGGTATCACCGGGATAATGATGGAAATTGGCAAGGGTTCGATAAGCAGTATCTTGGGTGATAAAAATGTCATATGCGATATTATACCTGTTGATTTTGTGGTTAATTCTATGATAATGACAGCGCAGAGGGCTACGCTGGGAAGGTGAGAATTTGAAAGAATTTTCAAAGATTTTATATGTTCGAAACTGAAGACTATGTTTCGATTATCGAATTTAATCTGTATTTTGATTCTTTTTTCAGAATTTTCATATCCAACTGCACCTCGGGAGTTACCAACCCCATAACCTGGCAGCGTTTGGGTTGTTTAACACTCAAATGGTCACGAATCTATCCGACCCGTAAGGCCTTTATGTTTCCCTATTTCCAGTACCGCAAAAGCTTCCTAATGCATGATATTGCCGTGTATCTGCTACATTATGTTCCGGCCATTATGATGGATTTATTAGCCCTAGCTCTGGGTCAGAAGAGAAAAATGGTCTTACCCATAGCCAAGAAGTTCCGACAGGCCTGTTTGGCGGGTATGTTATCGAGAACTTTATGAAGCAATTTTTTTTTTTTATTTTTTGTTCTGCCTTCAAGGAAAATGTTTCTCTTTAAATGAGTGGATTTTTATGAATGGCAGCCGTTATTATTATGAGGATGTGTTGGGTTCGGGAGCCTTCCCATGCCTCTATTGGAATTTGAAGTCCTTGGATTATGAAATTTATATACGGCAATTTGTCATTGGAATACAGAAATATTTACACCAGGAGCGGTTTCGTGAAAATTCCAATAAATGGCAGATCACAAGGTGAGGATGAGGATTTTTTTTTTCTAAATCCACGCCCTGTGTGGGTGGTTGAAAAAAGTATTTTTTCTAAATCCACGCCTAGTGTGGGTGGTTGAAAAAATATTTTTTCTAAATCCACGCCTAGTGTGGGTGGTTGAAAAAATATTTTTTCTAAATCCACGCCTTGTGTGGGTGGTTGAAAAAATATTTTTTCTAAATCCACGCCTAGTGTGGGTGGTTGAAAAAATATTTTTTCTAAATCCACGCCTTGTGTGGGTGGTTGAAAAAATATTTTTTATAAAACCACGCCTTGTGTGGGTGGTTGAAAAAATATTTTTTATAAATCCACGCCTTGTGTGGGTGGTTGAAAAAATATTTTTTATAAATCCACGCCTTGTGTGGGTGGTTGAAAAAATATTTTTTCTAAATCCACGCCTTGTGTGGGTGGTTGAAAAAATATTTTTTCTAAATCCACGCCTTGTGTGGGTGGTTGAAAAAATATTTTTTCTAAATCCACGCCTTGTGTGGGGTGGTTGAAAAAATATTTTTTCTAAATCCACGCCTTGTGTGGGTGGTTGAAAAAATATTTTTTATAAATCCACGCCTTGTGTGGGTGGTTAAAAAAATATTTTTTATAAATCCACGCCTTGAAAAGATAATTTTATTGTAAATGGATATTTTAAAATTTTTGTTTATATATTTTTTCAGATTATATTGGTTTTGGATATTCCTGCATGTCTTCATCACCCTGGTGTTATTGTATATAATTCTCTAAAAGGCTGAAAGCTGGGCCAGAACATCGGGATTCTTAAGAAACACTCCTTATACCTTAAGACTATACAAAAATATATTCTTTACACATTTATATATTCTAGAAAAAACAGGCCACTGAACTTAATTACAATTTAAATAATCTTAAAAATAATTAGCTAAGTAATATTTTCTTCATTTAACATACATACGGGGGGATAATTAATATTCCTATTTACTAAATCCTTACTCTTAATATAATGACAATTTTCAAATTGCAAAAGAATATTTAAAAATACAATTTTTCGTCCGGGGTAATAGCACTGATGTGAATCATTCAGAAACCCAACATTTTCACAAGTACCATGGGAAACTCTTCCAGCATCCTCCTCTGCCTCGGGTGGTTCCACAATATCACCCACAACCTGTTTCATTGCCAATTCCCGTTCAGCCTCCTTTAATCGCTCCAATCGTATCAATTCATCCATATCATCGAGATCATATACCTCACGCTTCATTTCGAAATTTTTCTGCTCAACACTGGTTTTCAATTTACGATTAAATTCCGAACGATAATAATCGTTGATGAGGTTCATCAATCCCTTGGAATACCAATAAATTATACCCATCAGGAAGATACCTTGGGCAAATGGTCCAACCATTTTTGTAGCTACTTTAAATATTGAGTTTGATTACTTTTTAAATATTTTTATTTTTTATTTTGAAGTTCGGAAAAGGTTTATTCTTCTCTGAAGGTATCCAACCACTGCATTAACCAAATGTACTGCTGTTTAAATTGTGGCCAGGCCATGGTAAGGATCAACATAATCGTATTGGCAAAGACAAATAATTTCATCATTTCAACACCTGCAAGACAAAAACAAAAATAATTGATTAAAATTCATCCTGTGAAAACTTCACGATGGATCCTGAAATATTTCAAATCTTGGCGTATTTGCATTTAAAGTTAATAATACAGAAAAAAATTCACTGAAGCCCAGGTCCCAAGTTTTTTTTATAGAAAAAAATGCACTTCAACCCAGGTCCCAAGTTTTTTCTATAGAAAAAAATTCCGTGGACCAAAGGTCCAAGTTTTTTCTACAGTAAAAATTCCGTGAACCACAGATACCATGTTTTTCCTATAGAACAAAAAAAATCCGTGGACCCCAGGTCCCAAGTTTTTTCTATTGAAAAAAATTCCGCAGGACTACAGGTCCCAAGTTTTTTCTATAGAAAAAAATTCCGCAGGACTACAGGTCCCAAGTTTTTTCTATAGAAAAAAATTCACAGGACCACAGGTCCCAAGTTTTTTCTATAGAAAAAAATTCACAGGACCACAGGTCCCAAGTTTTTTCTATAGAAAAAAATTCACAGGACCACAGGTCCCAAGTTTTTTCTATAGAAAAAAATTCACAGGACCACAGGTCCCAAGTTTTTTCTATAGAAAAAAATTCACAGGACCACAGGTCCCAAGTTTTTTCTATAGAAAAAAATTCACAGGACCACAGGTCCCAAGTTTTTTCTATAGAAAAAAATTCACAGGACCACAGGTCCCAAGTTTTTTCTATAGAAAAAAATTCACAGGGCCACAGGTCCCAAGTCACTGGACTCCAGGTCCTGGACATGAAGAATTTTTAAGATCCATTTTCAAAGGTCATATTCCTGACTACGGGCGTGGATTTTTTAAATAAATTTCAAGGACCATATTCCCCAGTACAGGAGTGGATTTTTAAAGAATTTTTAAGATCCATTTTCAAAGGCCATTTTCCTGACTACAGGCGTGGATTTAAAAAAAAATTTCCTAGGACCATATTCCTGACTACAAGCCCGGATTTTTAAAAGAATTTCAAAGGCCATATTCCTGACTACAGGCATATATTTTTTAAAGAATTTTCAAGGGTCATATTCCTGACGGCAAGCCTGGATTTTTTGAAGAATTTTTAAAGGACCATATTCCTGACTACAGGCGTAGATTTTTTTAAAGAATTTTCAAGGGCCATATTCGTCTTCAGAATCGTGGAATTTTTAAAGAATGTTCAAGGGTCATATTCGGCTTCAGAATCGTGGATTTTTTAAAGAATTTTCAAGGGTCATATTCCTGACGGCAGGCATATATTTTTTATTTTGAAGTTCGGAAAAGGTTTATTCTTCTCTGAAGGTATCCAACCACTGCATTAACCAAATGTACTGCTGTTTAAATTGTGGCCAGGCCATGGTAAGGATCAACATAATCGTATTGGCAAAGACAAATAATTTCATCATTTCAACACCTGCAAGACAAAAACAAAAATAATTGATTAAAATTCATCCTGTGAAAACTTCACGATGGATCCTGAAATATTTCAAATCTTGGCGTATTTGCATTTAAAGTTAATAATACAGAAAAAAATTCACTGAAGCCCAGGTCCCAAGTTTTTTTTATAGAAAAAAATGCACTTCAACCCAGGTCCCAAGTTTTTTCTATAGAAAAAAATTCCGTGGACCAAAGGCCATATTCCTGACTGCAGGCGAGGATTTTTTTAAAGAATTTTCGAAGACCAAATTCCTGACGGCATGCGTGGATTTTTAAAGAAATTTTAAGGACCATATACCTGACGGCAGGCGTGGATTTTTTAAAGAATTTTCAAGGGCCATATTCCTGACTGCAGGCGAGGATTTTTTTAAAGAATTTTCGAAGACCAAATTCCTGACGGCATGCGTGGATTTTTAAAGAAATTTTAAGGACCATATACCTGACGGCAGGCGTGGATTTTTTAAAGAATTTTAAGGGCCATATTCCTGAATACAGGTGTGTATTTTTAAAGAATTTTCAAGGGTCGTATTCCTGACTACAGGCGTGGAGTTTTAAAAGAATTTTCAAGGGTCATATTTCTGACGGCAGGCGTGGAGCTTTTAAAGAATTTTCAAGGGTCATATTCCTGACTGCAGGCGTGGATTTTTTAAAGAATTTTCAGGGGCCATATTCCTGACTACAGACGTGGATTTTTTAAAGAATTTTCTTGGACCACATTCCTGACTGCAGACGTGGATTTTTTAAAGAATTTCAGTTGCCATATTCCTGACTACAGGCGTGAATTTTTTTAAATGATTTTCTAGGACCACATTCCTGACTGCAGGCGAGGATTTTTAGAGAATTAATAATTTTCAAGGGCCATATTCCTGACGGCAGGCATAGATTTTTTAAATAATTTTCAAGGGCCATATTCCTGACGGCAGGCGTGGATTTTTTAAAGAATTTTCAAGGGTGATATTTTTCTTTTGGACCTTTTAAAAAAATATTCTTTAAATAATCTACGCTAAGGTTGGATGTTTGAAAAGGTCCACGGCTTGGTAGAACCTTTGAAAAGGCCAACTCCTACGTTGGACCTTAAAAAATCCACGCCTAGGTTGGACCTTTGAAAAGGTCAACTCCTAGGTTGAACCCTAAAAAACACACGCCTAGGTTTGACCTTTGAAAAAAATATTGTTTAAAAAATCCACGCTTAAGTTAGACATTTGGAAAAATATTGTTTCAAAAATACACGCCCAGGTTGGACCTTTGGAAAAATATTGTTTAAAAAATTCGTACATAGGATGGACCTTTGAAGAATATATTCGTTTAATCCCCGCATAGTTTGGACCTTTGAAAAAATATTGTTTCAAAAATCCACGCCTAGGTTGGACCCTAAAAAATCCACGCTTCGGTTGGACTCTTAAAAATGTTTCTTAAAAAATCCAGGCTTGGGTTTAACCCTTAAAAATATTCTTTAAAAAATCTACGCCTCGGTTGGACCCTTAAAAACTGTTCTTTAAAAAATTCACGCCTAGGTTGGACCATTGAAAAAATATTTTTTAAAAAATGTCCTTAAAAATATTCTATAAAAAATCTGGCCTAGGTTGGACCCTTGGAAACATATTCTTTAACAAATCTCGCATAGGTTGGACCCTTGAAAACATATTCTTCAAAACATTCACGCCTACGTTGGACTATTGGAAAAATTTTCTTTAACAAATCCCCTTAAAATATATTCTTTAAAAAATCCACGCCTGGTTTAGATCTTTGGGTTTGACCCTATAAAAATATTCTGAAGTTCATTTGAATCCTCCTCCGTGCTACTCACCCTCACTGGATCGCAAATAGGTACCGAAACCCGAATTCAATTCATTTGCATCATCCAACTCCTTCTGATGTTCACATTTGGGTTTATCGTCTTTTTTATTCCCCACTGATTTCACTTCGTCTTTTGCAGAATTTGAGCTCTTGCTGTAAGGTTTTTTCGATGAGTATGCACTGGTTGGCTTTTTACCATAACCCGTAGCAGAATTGGCAAAGGCCCCAAGTGGTTTAGAAGTTTTCATGATTTCTTTGCGGAAAAACTGCACATTTATTAGATTTGAATTAAAAAAAGAATACGAGCGAACAATTCCGAAATGTTACATCTTCGACAATCCGACAACAACTAAATAAGGTGGACAAAGACCAAACAATAATTCTTCAATTTTTTGATGTGGCATGTTCACTTTTAAGGTTTCCTCGCTAATTTGTTGTTGCCTTTTGTAGACCTGCTAACCTAAATTTTGTGAGAGGCAATTGGAAAAGAAAAGTGGAAATTGTAATTTTATTTGAAAAAGTATAGATTTTATTTTAGGTTCTTATAAGTACTTCTACAGGTTAGTTCCCTATGTTGATGTGTTTTTGGTCTACATATGTTTATATATATATATATGTATATATAAATATATATATATATGTGTGTGTGTGTATTGGTTTTGTTATGTATGTAATTGTAAATAGGTATGAATATTTTGTAATCTAATTAATATTATTATATAGTATGAGATAATAGGGCTTTTGAAAGGGATGGTATTTTGAAATACGATTTAAAAAAAGCATTGAACATTCCCTGGGATGATTTGAATATTTTGAAAAAAATAGAATCACAACCATAAAATAAGTTGAAAAATTAAACAAAAAAAATAAATTATTGAATACAAAAAAATAAGATTTTTTTAGAACAATAATCAACCTTAGATGCGGATTTTTTAAGTAATTTTCAAGGGTAATATTCAGAGGAATGTTTTTTAATTGGAATGACCATATTCCCTACTACAGATTTTTAAGCATTTTAAAATTTTTTAAAGAATTTTCAGAGGCCATATTCGCATCCGGAAGCGTGGATTTTTTAAAGAATTTTCAAAGATCATAGTCGGCTCTAGAGGCGTGGATTTTTTTAAGAATTTTCAAAGGCCATATTCGCCTCCGGAAGCGTGGATTTTTTAAAGAATTTTCAAACGCCATAGTTGTCTCTAGAGGCGTGGATTTTTTAAAGAATTTTCAAAACCCATATTCGCTTCCGTAGGCGTGGATTTATTTTAAAGAATTTACAAAGGCCATATTCGTCTCCGGAGGCGTGGATTTTTTAAAGAATTTTCAAAGGCCATATTCGCCTCCGGAGGCGTGGATTTTTTTAAAGAATTTTCAAAGGCCATATTCGCCTCCGGAGGCGTGGATTTTTTAAAGAATTTTCAAAGGCCATATTCGCCTCCGGAGGCGTGGATTTTTTTTAAAGAATTTTTAAAGGCCATATTCGGCTCTAGAGTCGTGGATTTTTTAAAGAATTTTCAAAGGCCATATTCGGCTCTAGAGTCCTGGATTTTTTAAAGAATTTTCAAAGGCTGTATTCAGCTCCAGAGGTGTGGATTTTTTAAAGAATTTTCAAAGGGCAAATTCAGCGCCAGAGGCTTGGATTTTTTAAAGAATTTTCAAAGGCCATATACAGCTCCAGAGGCGTGGATTTTTTAAAGAATTTTCAAAGGCCATATACAGCTCCAGAGGCGTGGATTTTTTAAAGAATTTTCAAAGGCCATATACAACTCCAGAGGCGTGGATTATTTAAAGCATTTTCAAACGCCATAGTTGGCTCTAGAGGCGTGGATTTTTTAAAGAATTTTCAAAGGCCATATACAACTCCAGAGGCGTGGATTATTTAAAGCATTTTCAAACGCCATAGTTGGCTCTAGAGGCGTGGATTTTTTTAAAGAAATATTTGGTTGGAGTTCAAAAAAAAATTAAAAATCCAAGCCATGGTTGGAGCTCAAAAAAATTAAATACACACCTCGAGAAAATGTTTCTTTTAATCCACAATTGGAGTTGGGAGAAATATTTATTTTAAAATCCACGCCTCGAGAAAATTTTTTTGTTTTAATCGACGTCTAAGTTGAAGCTCTATTTTTTTTTTTTTTTAAATCCATGCCTAGGTTGGAGATTTCAAAAATCTACACCTAGGTTGAACCTTAAAAAATTAGTCTTTGGAAAAAACTACGCCTACGTTGGACTTTAAAAAATATTTTTTTAAAAATCCACAATTGGTTCGAACATACAAAAATATTATCTTAAAAATCCACACCTAGGTTGGACATTGAGAAAATATTTTTGACAAAACCATGCCTAGATTGGATCTCAAAAAACTAGTCTGGTCTCAATTGAACTTGAAAAAATATTCTTATTAAGATCGGTCGGATTGAAATTTTTGTACCTAAAATCGATCAGAACTTGTCCAAAATACGGAATAATGAGAGGTACTATTATATGGAGACTATTCTGAAAACATGGACCAGTATAAATACATTTTAGTAGGAATCAATGAGAATTCAAAATATCAAATTTGAATCAAATCGGTTGAAAAACATGCCCTAATATCGAATATTAGGTGTACCGTTATATTTGGGCTGTCCTTAAACATGGGCCAATTTTGATAATTGTTGATAGAGATTTTCCATCCAATGAGAACACAAAATATCAAATATTTTTTTTTACCCAATTGGATTGGAAACGTGATCAAAATCACTGAAAATACCCAAATCTTGGGAGTTACTGTCATATTGGACCTATATCAAAACGTTTTCCGATTTATATCTTTTTCAGTTTTAAACATACTAAGAATAGTAGCAATGTGCTAAATTTCAAAGCTCTATCGTAAATACTGCGAGCTCTATAATGATTTCAAGCGAGGAACGGTTGGACTTGGCTAAATCGACATATAAGTTTTAATGTATAGGCTATACAAATCAACACCTATGTTGGAACTTGAAAAGTATTCCATTGTAGGCCTAGAAAAATATTCTTTTAAAAATGTGTGCTAATAGAATGTCCTTGAAAAGTCATACTTAAAAAATTGTTTTAATTAAAAAAAATCCACGCTTGTTACTCTGATAGGCCTTAAACATTTTAATAATTAAAAAAATCCTACCGTTGGCACGGTTAGCCCTAATAATATTAGCAATTTAATATTAAGTTAACCTCTGAAAAAAAAAATATTTTCTTCGAATTAAATTTTTAAAATAATTTTTAAGTCCCTCTACTGCTCCAAAAAAAAAAAAATAAAAAAATTATAAGTCACACAATTTATAAGTAAATAATAATTATTATTTTGTTTTTTATTTTTATTTCTTCAAAGAACACAACCATAATGTCCTTTTTAGGAATTATATTATACAAACATAAGTTTTCATTGAAATGAAATTAAATAATAATAAAAAATTTTATATATACACACAAGAGTTAAAAAACAAAATTAAAAAAAAATACAATTAAAAAATAATAATACATTTTTTGGAAAATTATAAAATAAAAAAAAAAACACACAGGAAACACTTTGGAAGAAACTTATAAATCAAAGTAAAAATAGGACGACTGCTAAGGAATACAAAGATTGGGGGGAGGGGGTTAAACTTTTATTTTGGTAGAGGCGCGCACAGACATTGATGATAGTTTTTTTGTTTTATTATTTTTTCTCTTCTATATATATAAATATATAATTTATATAATATATTATTAATTTATATACTCGACTATGTTGTTTTATTTCTTTGACAAAACATTTATATACTAAATGTGTTACAAATATATATGTTTATTATTATTTTAAATAATGTCATTGTTTCTTTTCGTATGGAAAGCAAATACGAAAGAGTATGTATGTATGTAAGCATTAGTTTATGTTTGTTTTATTGATTTGTTTGATATATGTATATATAGATAGATAGTATATAATGTTGTGTTATATATGTATGTATTATAATAAAGTTTTATTTATATGTATATATAGATAATATATAAATATATTTAATTAAAGATATGACTATGACAGCAAATGTGTGTTATTTTTTTTTTAGTTTTTAGTAATAATAGCAAAATAATATAATATTAAAAATTATAATAATAATATATAGCACTTATGTTGTCTAAAATTATGATTTAGTATTGTATCATTTTTTTCTTTAGTTTTTATTTTAAATTTATATATTATTATCAATTATTGTGATGATGCTGAATAAATTGCTTTCAGTTTTATTTTAATTTTTTTAATTTTACGAAAAAATGCTTTCAAATGCCAATTTATTTTTAAAGAAATACTTTCTTTAATAATTTTATTATTATTATTTTTTTTATATTATTACTCGTAGTTTTGCCTTTCTTCTTTCGCTTAGCATTATTGTGCGTTAAGTAAACAGAACTTATTATTTTTTTGGTTATAATATTTACATAAAAAACACAAAAGGAACATGGACTCGAAATTAAAAGCATTTAAATTATAGGTAGGTAGATAGGTTGGTTGGTTTTGGTTTTAAAAACTATAAGGACTCAGTTTTGTTTGGAAGTTCAAAGGAATAAAATAAAACAAAAGAAAGAAAAAAAAAAATTAAAAAAGGAAACATAAAATAAATTGTTAAAGGCTGGATTCTTGTTTGAAGAGTTGGGAGGAGGGAAAGAGAAAGGTTTTTTATAGAAACCTTGGTAGAACACTAATAAAACAATCCTCCATTCAATACTTCAATAAATATATAAAAAGTAATATTTAATTCAAATTTAATAATGTCCCAGAACACAGACGAATTATGGTGGAAGGCAGAAATAAGTTTATCATTTGATGCCTTTGTTGGGTATTAATAAAAAAACAAGTAAAAATATCGATAAGTTCGCTCGGGCCGATATTTTTATACCCTCCACCATAAGGTCGTCATTTAAAATACCAGTAATTGTTGGGAACCTTCATAAGTGGCAGGCTATGTCATTGTAAATTTTGTGCTAAGGAGATTTGACCCCCAATGAAAACCAAATTTAAGTCAATTCGGTTATAAAAGTGACCAAAATACCCAATAATGGTATACCTATATATGGGGGCTATATTAAAAAACAGATCAATTCTGATAATTTTTGGCAGGAAGATTTCCTACACAATGAGAATTCAATATAATAAATTTAAGACGATTTTTGATGAAAACCCTACGCAAACTCTCCAAAATATCGAATATTGAAGGGGATCGTTATATGGGCGCTATCCTCAAAAGTGGACCAATGTTGAAAATTTTCAGTGGGAAGATTTGATACCAAATGTGATTTCAAAATACTAAATTATAGCCAATTAGGCTGAAAAACGTGCCCAAACACCCTTATAGCCAATTTGGCTGAAAAACGTGCCCAAACACCCTAAAATGCCGAAAAAAATAGGTGTAGGATTATATGCGAGCTATCTTAAAAAGTGGACCCATATTGATAATTTTTTGTAGGGAGATGTTCTATCCAAAGGGGACGCAAAGTAACAAATTACAACCAATTCAATTAAAAAAATGTGTCAAAAATACCCAAAATTCCGAATAAAAGGGGACCAATATTGATCATTTTTGGTATGGAGGATTGCTTGCTACCCAATGAGAACTACAAGTATGAAGTTATACCCAATAAGAACTCCAAATACCAAAATGCCGAAAAAATAGCTGTAGCGTTATATGCGAGCTATCTTAAAAAGTGGACCCATATTGATAATTTTTTGTAGGGAGATGTTCTATCCAAAGGGGACGCAAAGACAAATTACAACCAATCCGATTAAAAAAAAATGTGTCAAAAATACCCAAAATTCCGAATAAAAGGGGACCAATATTGATAATTTTTGGTATGAAGGATTGCTACCCAATGAGAACTACAAGTATGAAGTTATACCCAATAAGTACTCCAAATACCAAATTACAGCCGATTCGGTTGAAAAATGACCTAAAAATACCCAAAATACCGAATATTTGGCGGTACAGCTATATGGGGGGCTATCTTAAAAAGTGGTCCAATATTGATCATTTTTGTAGGGGGATTTGCTACCCAATGAGAACTCCAATTACCAAATTACAGCCGATTCGGTTGAAAAACGACCTAAAAATACCCAAAATACCGAATATTTGGCGGTAAAGCTATATGGGGGGCTATCTTAAAAAGTGAACCAATATTGATAATTTTTTTGTAGGGAGATTTACTGCCCAATATGAACTCAGAGTAACAACTTACAGCCAATTCGGTTGTAAAGCGTTGCAAAAAATCCACATTATATTATATATGTGGGCCAAAAAATGGCCCTATATCTATAATTTGAAGTAGGGAGATTTTCTACCCAAAGCCAATTAGGATCATTAAAGCCAACATGGATCATTTTTTGTGGGAAGATTTTCAATCCAATGTGAACTCAAAATACCAAATTTCAGCCAATTTGGTTAAAAATGTGCCTTAATTCCCCAAACATCGAATATTTCGGGGGTACCTTTATATGGAGACAATACCAAAACATGGACCGATATATCCCATTTCCAATATCAAATATCCTTGGAGTAGTAGCTATGTATGTGCAAAATTTGAATGTTCTATTTTAAATATTGCGAACTCTATCACGATTTCAAAACACAGATGGAGAGACCGGCTAATTTGATAAATAATTTTCTGACCAAGAATATATATACTTAATGGGGTCTTCGGTGAATATTTTGAAGTGTTTCAAATTTAATATACACTGCACATAAGGTTGGGAGTGTATAAAAAGTACAGTTCGAGGGTAAAGCTAATACAGCGCACTTTTTGAGAAGTTATGGTCTAGAACTTATTCTAACTTTTCGGATACCACTGATATCGTGATTTTTTTACAGTATGAATATAGCTTGTTAGTTTATGCAATATTTTATTTTCTAAAAATTGCGTTTCATCGTAGGGACCATATTTCTAATTTTAGTTCATTGATTCTTTCTAAAAATTGCGTTCCATCTTAGGGACCCTTTTTCTAATTTTCAATTATAACCTTACTTTTTAAAGGAACCTTAACAAATTTGAAAACTGCTCTTTTAAATATGAACCTGAAAATGATGAAATATTTTAATTTTTAATGCAAAAATGAATTAATTTTAAGCAAATTTTGAATAGTTAAAAATTCTTTCATAACCTTACTTTACATTTCTTTTCTCCTCCCCCTCTTTCAAATAAGAAAATCCAGCCTCTTTTTCTTTCTAAAACAAGGACTTTTAAAATTCAAATTTCTTTTGAGGTAAACGCACAAAAGAAACATCTACACACGCACAGTCTGACTCGCACACACACACAAATGGATAAACAGAAAAAACACAATTTAAAAAAATCACAAATTCTAACCTATAAAAAACAACTGAAATGAAAAAACACTTCTTATTCTACAGGTTTCTTAACAATAACAGGCGGTGGTGGTGCAGGCACTGTTGGTCTTTTTGGAGTCATAATCATGTTGGGTGATACGGGTGTGGTGGGCGTTAAACGCGTTGTCTCCAGCACCGATTTTTGATTATCCCCCATCGAATGATTGGAATTCGTTGCGGCATTTTGGGATGCTGTTGTTGTTGTGGTGGTATGAAGGGTCGAGGGTGTGGTATAACTAAATGTGGTCAATTTATTGACTACAGATGGTGGTGGCGGTAGCTGATTGGCATTGACAGCATCATGCGTTGCCGAATGATTATGATTATTATGATTGGCCTCCTTTAATATGGCTGACGGTATGGAGGTATTACTACTACCGATATTTGCCTGTAAAGCTGTTACATTATCACAATGTTCCTGCACCAATTGTTCGGCTGTTTTATTGCCTCGGAATGAACCATTTGTTGTGGCATTATTTATTTGTGTTGTCGTGGTGTTGGATTCATCATCGCTTCCCCGATTAGATGTTCCTGTTGTCGATGTCGTTGTTGTGTTAACCGATGTCAGACCCAAGACCATGGGCCGTTTGGGTATTTTTGGCTTTTGTGGGAGATCAGGTTTGAATGTCATCGAACTGACGCTGTCGGTGCTCTTGCGATCAGCTGTGGGAGATGGCAATGTATCTAAACCAAAGAATTGGGTACGTGTCATGGGTACTGGTTTGGCAGATAATGGCGGTGGTGGTCCCGTGTTATTTGCATTTGTTGTTGCATTATCTTGTGGTTGTTGTTGTTGCTGTTGGAGTAGTTGTTTGGGTAATGGAGGAATCTCAGGTTTCTCAGTTGTTGTAGTATGACCATTATTGTTATTGGGTGAAATATTATTTTGTTGATTACCACCACCACTACCGCTATCCGGCATATTGGCAGGGAATAATTCCTTAGCTCTTTGGTGATTATTTTGTTGTTGCAATTCTCCATTGTTTTTGTTGGTTTCATTACCAGTACCATTGGGATCTGTACTAACCATTAGATTTTGCAGTTTCATTGGTGGTGATGGTGCACAGGGTTTTTGTCTTCGTATCGTACCATAGCGTTCGATTTAAAGCATTTATACATAAAGGTACGTTTCGAGATTGAATAACATGGAGTCTTAATACAATACGAAAAGAAAGACCTTCTTAAGAATTCTATTAAAACTAATTTTTTATAGACGATCTGGAATTCAAAAATTCTGAATCTAAGAACTTTTATGAAACACGCTGAAAGAATAATGACGAAAACCTTGAAGTCTTTTTAGACCAGCAATAGAAAATGGAGTATTCTATTGCCTGGAATTCACAAATTCTGAAACTAAGAAATTTTATGAAACAAGCTGAAAGAATAATGACGAAAACCTTGAAGTCTTTTTAGACCGGCAATAGAAAATGGAATATTCTATACGATCATAAACCCTTTGAAAGACCTTGGACTTAGCGAAGCCGAGGTGGGAATAAACTGAACAGTGCAATGAGTCGATGTTGTCGAAATAAATGGTTTGGCTCACTAGTGATAAAATGTAGACGAGCAAGACAAGCTTGTTTATCTATATGGACAAAGCGAAAATCAGTCCATATCGACTACCTGAATAACAGAAAGCTTGGCTATTTTATTAAGGCGATCTGAAAGGTCAGTGAGTAAAAAGGAGGGGTCTATGTTAAACACCACGACCTTAAAGCCGCCAACCCATACAAATACAACTAAAGCCAAGTCAAGAGGCTTTCATGGACGAACTAGGAAGACGATCTGAAAAACAGGCGGTCCTACATTAATTTCCTGAAGTTAATATATATATAAAGAAATTGGAAGCAGGACACTGAGTCATCAGACTGGCTAGTAAGTCTTTACCAGTTGCCACTGAGCTTATTGCCTGAAGCCAGCCAGGCTGACCCAAGAGTCTATTTCTACAGATGAGTTCAAGCCAGCTGGCTCGAGTGTATATTTCTCTTAACGAGCTGAAGTCAACAAGTCTGGCCACTAAGTATATTTCTCCTGACGAGATGAAGTTAGCCAGGCTGATAACTGAATCTATTTCATTAGACTTACTAAAGTTCGTCAGTCTGGCCACTTAGTCTACTTCCATAGATGGGAAAGGCTGGCCTCTGAGTCGACTTCTATAGGCAAGCTGAAGCCAGCCACTGAGAGTATATTTGTATATACGAGCTGAAGCCAGCCAAACTGGCCTCTGAGTTCATTTCTCTTGACTAGCTGAAGCCAGCCTAGCTGGCCTCTGAGTATATTTATATAGACGAGTTGAAGCCAGCCTAGCTGGCCTCTAAGTCTATTTTCTATAGACGAGCTGAAGCCAGCCTGGCTGACACCTGAGGCTTTTTCGATAAACGAGCTGAAGTCAGGCGGGCTGGCCACTGAGCCTTTTTCTATAGACGAGCTAAGGCTGGTCTATGAGTCTATTTCTAACTGAAGCCAGACTATCTGGCCTCTGAGTCTATTTATAAGACGAGCTGAAGCCAGCCTGACTGACCTCTGAGTCAATTTCTATAGACGAGATGAAGCCCCAGCCAGTCTGACCCGAGAGTCTATTTCCATAACTGAGCTGAAGCCAGTCAGGCTGGACAGTTAGTCTATTTCTCTACACTAGCAGAAGCCAGCCAGGCTACCCACTGAGTCTATTTCTGCAGACGAGCTGAAGCCAGCCAGACTGGCCCGATAGTCTATTTTTATAGACGAGGTGAAACCAGCCTGGCTGGCTCGAGAGTCTATTTTTATAGACGAGCTGAAGTCAGCCTGACTGGCTCGAGAGTCTATTTCAATAGAGGAGTTGAAGCCAGCCAGGCTGGCTACTGAGTCTATTTCTATAGACGAGCTGAAACCAGCCTAACTGGCTTCTGAGTCTATTTTTATAGACGAGCTGGCTCCTGAATCTATTTCTATAGAAGAGCTAAAGCCAACCAAGCTGGCCACTGAGTCTACCAAGCTGGCCCGAGAGTCTATTTCTATAGTCGATCTTAAGTCAGTCAGGCCTGTCTCTGAGTCTATTTCTATAGAAGAGAGATTATATTTCTATAAACGAGCTGAAGCCAGTCAGGCTGGTCATTTAGTATATTTCTATAGTCGGGCTGAAGGCAGCCAGGCAGACATCTGAGCCTTTTTCTATTGACGACTGAAGTATATTTCTCTTGAGTCTATTTCTCCTATTTTGAAAGGATTTTTAAGACTTCTGAATATTTCTGTAGAATTCGGTTTTTATGCCTTATTTATGAAGAATTTTTATCTTCATTCCTGGGGCTATTTCGTTTATAAAGAAATTAAGAAGACTTCTGTTAATATTGTCATGTTAATTCTGTATTTTATCAAAATGGGGGTTTCGGGTTAGGGTTTACATTTTCAAAACATAAAAATAAAAATAAGAGGTTATAATAAAATAAATATAATGCAAAAGATATTTAACAAAATAATACTTTAAAAGAAATATATACATAACTTATACAAGAATAAAACCAAAAAAAGCAACAGAACAAAATATATTTTTTTAAAAAAATACTTAAAGCGTTCCAAGCGGACAGACAACAGCAAGGGATGAGTGGGAAGAGGAAGTAGATAGTAGAGTGAGTCAGGCATTAAAACATATGCCAAAAATAACCTTAACCAAAAGCAAAATGAAAAGCTTATTAAAAATTATAATTTAAATCAATCTACACCACTCTACTCACCATTATCATGACGATCCAAATTCTCATTCGAAGAATTCGATTTACTTTTATCTTCCATATACAGTTTACCCCGCTGGAGGGTAACAAAGAAATCGACATCACCCTCAAAGAAATAATCCCAATGATTTATCATTAAATCAATGATAATATTCACCGCCGATGAACTATTCACCTGGCCCATATAATCATCAGGATTGTTTTCATCACGACGAGGCCATAGCATATTCGGTGACATTACAATGGCTAAATTGTGCGAACTCATTTTATTGTACTCGACATTTTGTGTGACCAACCATAGGAATTTCGTTAGATAACGTAAATTATCATAATTGGCTTTGGGCAGCTTCTCCAGTGTGTTCTTAATGGCTGCCTTACGGTCCTGTTCTGAATGACGTTCCACGGTTTTTATGAAATCATCATAATATTTATAGGTCAACAGTGGTTCGGGTAATTCACGTAAATATAATTTGAGAATAGAACCAATAACATGTGGATCTTGATAATCCACCGAAAGGGGAGTCTTGACATGTTGCGCCTCGAGGGCGTGTTTCATGCGACGCAGTTTTGTACTGGCACAGCCGACTCGCAGCAGACCCTCTTCGTGCAGGCCATTCTCGACGAGGCAGCATACACACAACTCAATGATATAGGATATTTCACGATTTGTCGAAGCCAAGTGTTCGGTGAGTGAGGTACCAAATCGTGATTTAACCGTTGACTCGATGATATCCTGAATATTGGCCAACGAGCTATTCACTCGTTGCAGGGCACGTTCATGATAGTTTCTTTGGTTCAGTACATAGTCGCGTATACAATGGACTATAACATCTTCTTTGGCAATTAGTTCGAACATTTGTGCCGCCCACATATCGCGTTCCTTTTCCAATTTCACCTCAACTTGTTCCTGTTGATCTTTGATGTTGTTGATTTTCGCCTGAGGTTCATCCAAACGTTTGGCAGCCTGGAAAGCAGAGGAAGAGAAGAGTGTTAAATTGTAAATCAATAATTTGATTGTGGGAGAGAAATTGAAATGATTTCTTCCTTTCTTTTTTTGGGTTATCATTTATTGATGATTGTGTTATTGTTTTGCTGTTGTTAGACAATCAATTGTTTTGTATATGAGGGTTTGTCTGTCTGTCTGCCAGTTTGTAGTTTATGTGATTTTGTGTGCAAAGTGTGAGTATGACCTAATAAATCAACCAATAGCTCTCTTGAGTCATAGGCAACAAACACCACCACCACACTACAACAACAACTACGAAAAAACAATTGAAAGTAAGTGTTGTTGTTATTTTTGTATAACACTATTGTGTCAAACTTTCAAAGACATTCTAAAACTTAATCATCAATGGTGGTGGTTGGTGGGGTCTCAATATGGATACAAGATGCCATAAAGAAGAATTGGAACAGAGAAGCTGCTAAAAATCGATAGTTGTTTAATATCGGAAACAGGGAGGTGATTGCTAGAAGCCCAAAAAAACTAAACAAATTTCCTTTAAAGATCTGGAAATCATATTATAAGGCAGATTATCTTATATGTGATTTAGGAGCCTACTTATTTATCAGACCTTATACGATACAATGGGGTCGGTCCTCCTCTAATAAAAATTATAGTTAAATAGAATATTTGACATTTTTCATATTGAAAGTCAGGAGGGCATCTACTAGTAAATTAGAACCCTACAAATATTTATAAAAAAGTCATGGATATTATCTTATATGGTAGTTCGGGACCCATAATTTTAATATCCTTTACTATATTGTTCTATAGTACAGAATATTCTTCGTATTCTTCGTGTACCGAAAATAGGGAAAAAAGATTCATTGGACAGCCAGTCTAAATAAATACACAAGGAGACCATCATAAAAAAATTAATCAGGATAAATAGACTCACTGTCATCTCACATCATCCCGGTTGGCTACAGCTTGTCTATACAAATAGACTAAATGGATAGTATGGCTGATTTCAACGCGTCTATAGAAATATCCTGGCTTCAGCTCTTCGATAAAAAATAATCATTTGCCAAGCTTGCCCATAGTGATCTGGCCATCCTTGCTAGCTTTAGGCCGTCTATACAGTTAGACTCTCTGACCAAATTGGCTGGCTGGCTTCTGGCCGTCTTTACAGATGCTTCAGCTCAGCTATGCAGGTAGGTTCACTGGCCAGCATGGTTGTTTTCAGGTTGTTTATATAAATAGACTCTCTGGCCAGCCAGGCTGGCTTCAGTTCGCCTATAGAAATATATTCTTGGACCAGTCTTGCTAGCTTCAACTCATCTACAGAAATATACCCTCGACCCCGCCTGGCTGCCTTCCGCACGTCTAAAGTAATAGACTTTCGGGTCAGCCAGGTTGGCTTCAACTCGTCTATGGAAACAGACCAGACTGGCTGGTCTCAGCTTATCTATGAAAATACTCACTCGGGAAATAGACAGCCTGGCTGGCATCAGCTCGCCTATAGAAATATATTGTTGGACCAGTCTTGCTGGCTTCAACTCGTCTACAGAAATATACCCTCGACCCAGCCTGGTTGCCTTCCGCTCGTCTAAAGAAACAGACTTTCGGGTCAGCCATGTTGGCTTCAACTTGTCTATGGAAACAGACCAGACTGGCTGGTCTCAGCATATCTATGAAAATACACACTCGGGAAATATACCCTCGCGACAGCCTGGCTGGCATCAGCTCGCCTATAGAAACAGGCCCTCGGATCAGCCTGACTGATTTTAGCTCGTCTATGGAAATAGACTCACTGGCTTCAGCTCGTCTATGGATATAGACTCAGTGACCAGCATGGCTGGCTTCAGCTCGCCTATAGGAGTAGACTCTCGGGCCAGCCTAGCTACTTTCAGCTCGTCCAGCCTGGCTGATTTTAGCTCGTCAATTGAAATAGACTTCTGGCTCCAGCACCTCTATAGAAATAGACTCAGTTGCTAGCCTGGCTGACTTCAGCTCGTCTATAAAAATAGACTCTCGGGCAAACCTTCCTGGCTTTGGGTATTCTATACAAATATACTCTAGGACCAATCTGGCTAACTTCAGCTCGCATACAGAAATAGATTCTCGCGACAGCCTGGATAGCTTCGGCAGGTCTATAAAAATAGACTGTAGGTCCAGCCTGGCTTTAGTTCAACTCATTTATACAGATCATTGCTTCATAGATTGTCAGCATTTCAATAGAGGTCAATGTCCCGCGCCAATTTAGATATGTTAATGATCGTTGGTGCATTTTCCAACAGATGTAACTGTAATTGGCATTCCGAATTCTTGGAGAGCAAATAACTTTTTCGCAAAAAATTATATATACAGGCCTATGTTTTGATAATTTGAAGAGTCGAGTCGCACTTTCTTAACCCAATAACTGCAATTTGGTATTTCGGGTTCATGAATTGGGTAAATAATTAAGAGATTAAATGTTAATGCCCTTCTACTGAAATAGCCATATAATGGTGGCCCAGCCTCATTTTAGGCACTTTAATGGTCCAATGTGGATTTGAGAGGTTGGGAGACATCTATTTACCAAATGTTCAATAAGTATCGATATTTTGACATAGGTCCCATAAAAAATGTTTCAAAGCATTTTAGGTAGTTTGAAGGTTCCATTCACATTTACAGGGTCTCCTGGAGCCATTTTAGCATGGCATAGCACCATATAGACAAATCGTTTGTAATCCTAAAGTCTCTGAAGAAGGGATGACCTGAATATCTAAAAATAAGAACTTTCATGGATTCAGGACCTACTGGTCCCCACTATTATTTCTTCGATTCATCTACCATAACTCCCTAAGAGACAATCCCTTAAGAAGGTCTCTTCTAAGTAGAAGATTTCCTTATCTTCCGTACACAATTTGAATTTCCATTGCAATATTCAAAATATTTACTTATCTCCCTCTCTGTCTCAACTAACGATAACTACACAGGTGGTCTATCTTAACTGCAACTCTAATACATAAACAGGAAATTAAAAAATTGTTTTTGGGGTTTATCTGCCTGCCAGTCATCGCGCAAAGCGAATGTGTGTGTGTGTTTTTTCTCGATTATGGAAATATGAAGAATATCAAATCAAAAACAAATGAAATTTTTTTAATTAGAAGTTTCACGTGCTAGTTGTATTGCGTGAATGCGATTTAATTGACATCGAAGAAAAAACAAAGCATTTTAACTATTTTCGCGTCATAGGCGGCGACAACGATAACAACCATCCATTCGATCGATTCATTGCTGCTATCAATTAAAAAGTTCTGCCCATTTAAATTGAATTTGTAATATATTCTTGTATCCATCGATAGTTTTGTTAGAGTATTTGTATGCCCAGTAAGGTCGTCTTGAATATTTATGTTTTGTGTAGTTGAAATTGTTGTTGTTGGACTCCTTATCATTCTTATCATATCTATGGAATGTCCATAATTTTGTTAAATGAAAACTAAAAAAATATATTTATTATGACACATATATTGGGTATTCAATATATTTATTACACAATGTAATTGTGTTATAGAAGTAGGGGGAGAGTTAGGGTGAAGGAAAGAATGTGAGACATGTATTGTTTGCTTGTCAATTTCATGTCAAATATTGTGTCAACAGCTCAGATACATCAGATACTTTGACATAATGTTGGGAAAGGGTCGTGGTGGGACTTTTTAAAGGTTCTCCTTCTAGTTTTCAATATAAGCCGATGCCAGTCTTGCTGACCAGTGTGTCTATTTCTACAGAGGAGCTGAATCTTCACCTTGGCTATTTATATAGGCAAGAGAACCCAATCAGGCTAGACTGTGAGTCTATTTCTATAGACGACTTGAAGCCGGCCTGACCTTTGAGTTTATTACTTTAGACAACCTGAATCCGGCATGGCTAGCCAGTACGTCTATTTATTTTGACGGGCTGATTCAGCCTGGCTGCCTAGTGAGTCTATTTCTATAGACAAGCTAAAGCCAGTTCTTTAGACCAGTGATGTACACGGTGAGAGGATGCCAATTTGTAAATGTATTTGTGAGACTAGTACACAAAGCTAAAGCAGTCCACACACGTCAAACATGTGCCTTCCATCGTGTGAATGAAATTAAAAGAATTTAATTAAATAACAAAGTTCGGTCTTTCTACGTCATCACTATCGCTGTCCATCTTCAATCTTTAAAAACCAAATTCGAAATGAAGTTTTGTTGATTCTTTTGTGGTCTAGAAGCTTCACACCGATGAAACGTACATGTTTGACGTGTTTGGGCCGCTTAAGCTTAGCCGCAAAATGATGCACACCACCATGGACATGTTTACTCGTTGAAGCCTCAACGACGACTAAATAAATGAGCGTAAGAATCCGTGTGAGTTGAGCTGACCGCTAGAGTGCAAGGGCGTGCATCCCTGCTTTAGACGGCCTGAAGCCCGCCAGGCTGGCCAGTGATTCTATTTTTATAGACGAACTGAAGCAAGTCAGGCAGGCTCGTCTACAGACAAACTGAAGCTAGTTAGGTTGGCCTGTGGGTCTATTTCTTTAGACGAGCTGGAGCCAACCAGGCTGATAAGTGAATTTATTTCTATAGATGAGCTGAAGCCAGTCTAGATGGCCAGTGAGTTAACTTCTATAGACTAACTGAAGCCAGCATGGATGGCTATAGATGAGCGAGTTGTAGTCCCATCATTCCAATCCCATACTTTAAAAATCTCGTAATATATTACCCATAGATCAGGGTTATCCTTATAAAATAAATTTTTTCATAGAATAGCCAAAAGTTAATTCCGAATTATAAAAGAAAATGTCAACCTTCGAAAGCAAGGGAAGAATTTCATATGAAAGCGAAAAGGTTATCTTTATAGAAGAAATATTAGGAAATATGAGGTTATAAACCTCAGTATAGTTACAGAAATATTTCTGAAAGAATTAAGCATATAAAGCGCAGGATAGCCTCTAAAATATTTCTTTTAAAAACTCACCTTATAAAGCTGAGAATAGTTTTGGATATATTCCTGAAAAACTCATCTTATAAATGTCTAGTTAATATCCGAAATAATTCTAAAATATTTCAGCACATACAACTCAGGATAGTCTCAGAAAATCAGAAGAAAATCAGAGCTCTGAAGAACCCTTAAAATATTCATTAAAAACCCAAAAAATCTACACCAATAGAGCTCTGTGAAGCCCTTAAAATATTCTTTAAAAAATTCACGCCTATAGTCTTTAAAATATTCTTTAAAATTTCACTCCTATAGAGCCATGAAGATATTCTTAAAAATGGCTCAGTATTTACTTTACTTAGCTGGCTTGTGACAGAATATTTGTTCCATAAAAAAGATTTTCAGGCGCGTCGGTCTGGTGTGCAGCTCTTCCAATTTGAAAGACCAGCCAGATTTGCCGGCCAGTGAGTCTATGTTTATAGAGACGAGCTGGAGTGAGGCTGGCCTGTGAGTATATGTAGAGGAGCTGAAAGGTCATTGAGATTGAGGTGGATACTGAGTCTCTAAATCAGGGTGCGCAAAAATTCGCTGTCGAATGATACAAAATATCCTATTTTCGTTTGGGCTCATTTTACGAATGAATTTATCGCTATAAATTATTTACCTAATGAGCATTCGCCAAACGAATATTCGCTCACACATAACAAACGAATGAGAGCACACAACAACGATCGTTTATTTCGTTTTGTAGTTGAAATTCTCTCGGACATTCGTTAACGAATGAAAACGTACATTCGAGAATGCTCGCGAGTGTTTACATTTTTATGGTATTTTTGTTTGTGTTATTTTTAACAGCGCTCGCGAGCATTCGCGAACTACAGTTTTTTTAGTTTTTTCAAATGAATGCTGTTCATTAACGAATGCTCGGGAATCGACGACGCTTGCAGCGACATTTTATCGTTCGTGAATTTTTCGTACAATGCGAACATTCACGAGAGAGTTGCAAGTGCTTGTTCATTCATTGTAATTTAATCATTCGCTATATATTTAAAACAATCGAATTCTCGCCATGAGCATTCGTGAGAAAGAGCGCATTTTAATCTATCGCCACACCCTGTTCTAAAGTCGAGCTGAAGAGAATAGTTTATCAAGGGTCAGCAAAAAATAGTGGAGTCTTGTAGATAATGAGAAGGGTTTTAAGAAGGGTTCTTGAGAGGGTCTTATTCTACGTGGTCTTCTTTTTCGCCCTGAAGAAAATGTATGGAAGATCTCATTGTAGAATACCAGAAACCTTAGGTAAACTAATGCCAACTTCGCAAAAATACAACTTATTAAGTAACGACATTTTCAACCTAACCTAAAGACATTTCTAAGTCACATTGCCCAATATGCCAACAGGAATAAGGTTTGGAATGTAGTATCTCTCTGACTTTTCTTTTCATTGCAATTTCGAATATGTAGCTCATCTCGAAAGAGAAATGAGCTTAAGAAAGAAATATATCGGATCTATTACAAATTCTCTGACTTTTTTCTCTGAGTGTAATACTGTAATTGCCTCCATATCGATTGTGTAAATATTTGATTTGTTATATTTTTCCAAATAAATATAATGGTTGGGGGCCAATCAACCCTCAATCTTGAATTGTTTTGTTTGATTTTTCTTTAAATTTGGCTTATCAGTTTTGTTTTCAGAGATATAAAAACATTTATATTAAAATTTATGTTTGCTTCTCTATGCATGGAGCTACTGCTATGAAGATATGCCTTGGTCGGTCGGTCTTTGACAAAATAAACAATTCACAAATAACAGCCATTGTTGCATTTTCTTCAATTGTTATTGTTATTATCATTGTTGTTGTTGTGGTGTGCTTGGTTGTTATTTAATTGAATTATCTTGTTTGTTGTTGCTGTTGTCGCCGTTGTCGTCTTTAAGAATGTGTCATTTAATTTCGAAATCTCTCACCTTCCCTTGGTCCGCGTTGTTTGCTTCTTTCTTTCATTATTTTTTAGCTTAAATAAATTCATAAACGTGATATTGTCATAAAATACTATTAGAATTTATTTTTTGTTACACATTGCAAAAACGATGGTGGTTTGAAGAGGGGAGGAATTTGAAGGGGGGAGGGGTCTACTTCTCCAATTCACATGCGTTCAAATTTCTCAACTTGTATATAATAACAACAATAACGAACACCAAATAAAGTGATAACGAAACGAACGCTTGCTCGTATATAAATTATGGGGAATGACTATATGTGAGAGGGAGAACCCTCCGCCCTCTATACATACATTGCAGAAAAGAAACGAAATGCAATTAAAAAGTTATTGAAAACGATATTGATAAGGTTTGGAGAATAACAAAGCAATATATATTTCCTTAAACATTTTAGCGGATAATGGCAAGAAGGTCTTCTTGTTTCAAAGACATTTTTCGATAGAAGATCAGAAGGTCTTCTCGGTCTATAGAAGAGTAAAATATCTTCTTCGAACTAATTAAGACAATGAGTCTATATATATAGAATCCCAGGGATGTCTATAGAACAACAAAAGTCTTCTTGGAGCTGTTCAGGACAGTGAGTCCATACTGACCAGGGCAGTGAGTCTATTTATATTGATGAGGGCTGAAGATTGAATCTGTAAAGAATAGCTGAAGGCAGACATACGAAGAAGTCCTGATCAATAAGTATGTAGAGATCTTGTAGAGAAGCTCTTTAAGGTCTAGGCAGTCAGGAAAGTGTACCCAGAAAATGACAGTTTTCCCTTTGAAAAGTGGAAATATTTTTTCATAGTCTCTGATAAATTCCTGAAAAAATTTTGCTGATAAAGCTCGATATAGTCTCTAAAATAATACTTAAAAATAAAAGTTTTCTAAGGTTAGGATAGTCTCTGAAATATTCAGATGTTATAAAGCTCAGGATATCTTTTAAATATTTCTAGGTATGTAGATCTCTGCAGAACCCCTAAAATATTGAAATGTTCTATTGAGCTTTCGAAAGCCCTTAAAAGCTTTTTTAGAAGCCCACGCCTATTGAGCTTTCTAAAGCCCTTAAAATGTTCTTTAAAAACCCACGCCTATTGACCATTCTGGAGCCCTTGAAATATTCTTTAAAAACCTACTCCTATTGAGCTTTCTAGAGATCTTGAAAAGTTCTTTAAAAAAACCTCGTCAATTGAGCTTCATGAAACCCTAGAAATGTTCATAAAAAAGCACGCATATTGAGCTTTCTAGAACTCTTGAAAAGTTCTTTAAAAAATCTCGCCAATTGAGCTTTATGGAGCCCTTTAAAATGTTCCTTAAAAAACCTCGCTATTAGGCTTTCTGGAGCCCTCGAAATGGTCTTAAAAACCACGCCTATAGAGCTTTCTGGAGCCTTTGAAACTATCTTTAAAAAACACGCCTATAGAGCTATCTGGAGCCTTTGAAACTATCTTTAAAGCCAACCACGCCTATTGAGCTTTCTGTAGCCCTTGAAATATTCTTAAAAACACGCCATAAAAAAACACACCTATTGAGCTTTCTGTAGCCCTTGAAATGTTCTTTAAAAAAAAACCACGCCTATTGAGCTTTCTGTGGCCCTGGAAATATCCTTAAAAACACGCCATAAAAAACACACCTATTGAGCTTTCTGTAGCCCTTGAAATGTTCTTTAAAAAAACCACGCCTATTGAGCTTTCTGTAGCCCTTGAAATATTCTTAAAAACACGCCATAAAAAACACACCTATTGAGCTTTCTGTAGCCCTTGAAATGTTCTTTAAAAAAAACCACGCCTATTGGGCTTTCTGTAGCCCTTGAAATATTCTTAAAAACACACCTATTGAGCTTTCTGTAGCCCTTGAAATGTTCTTTAAAAAAACCACGCCTATTAAGCTTTCTGTAGCCCTTGAAATGTTTTTTCAGAAAACCACGCCTATTGAGCTTTCTGTAGTCTTTGAAATGTTCTTTAAGAAAACCACGCCTATTGAGCTTTCTGCAGCCCTTAAAATGTTCTTTAAGAAAACCACGCCTATTGAGCTTTCTGTAGCCCTTGAAATGTTTTTTTTAATAAAATCACGCGTATTAAGTTTTCTGGAGACCGTGAAATGTCTTTTTTAAGAAAATCACGCCTATTAAGCTTTCTGGAGCCAGTGAAATGTTTTTTTGAGAAAACCATTGAGCCTATTGAGCTTTCTGGAGAACTTGAAATGTTCTTTAAAAAACAACGCCTATTGAGCTTTCTGTAGCACTTGACATGATATATTAAGCTTTCTGGAGGCCTTGAAATATTCTTAAAAACCACTCCTATTAAGCTTTCCTATCGAGATTCCTAGATTCCTTGAAATATGATCTAAAACAACATGTCTATTGAGTTTTCTAGAGCCCTTAAAATGTTCTTTAAAAAAACTCGCCTATTGAGCTTTCTGTAGCCCTTAAAATATTATTTAAAAACCATCGCCTAGAACCTACAACCTTTGTGATATTCTTTAAAAGTCGATACCTATTAAGAAGCGCTGTAAAGCTCTCGAAATATTCATAGATGATCAACAGCGATAAAGTTCTGTGGAGCCATTGAAATATTCTTAAAAAACGTCGTATATTGAGCTCGAAAAAGCCCCCAAAAATAATTTTGAAAAAATCCAGAACTGAGAAATTTTGAATTGCCTTTGTTAAATTCTTAACAAATGATCGCCTTTTTAGCTTAGTAGATCTATTAAAATAGTTAAAAAAAAAACTCCGAAGTGTATTCTATAGTTCTTCTTATTGAAACCCAAAATGGTTCACCAAAATGGTCTCAATATAGAACAATAGAAAAACATTTTACAGAAGGTCTCTGACTATCATTCTAAAACTCCAGAAAATTTTTATGTGATTTTTTTCTTGTAAAATCCGATCACCTCATTTTGTAGAATACAATTTCCTAACCCCATTATTTAACAAACCAAAAAATTATCTCCATTATTTATCTCTACTTTCGTTAATAATGCCATTCCCCACATACATACATACATAATTATTAATGAAATTTAATAGTAAAAAAATAAATCACAATATTTTTTTGGTTCATCTTTTTTTTCAACTACTTACCTCATAGCTTCTGGTTAACGAAGCATATTCTTGCAATGTACGTGACACGTTACGTTTCATTGTTGAGATCTCTTGTATTTCCTTGTCTAAAATTAATTTCAGACGCCGCACCACTTTACATTCTGTCTCCAATTCGCTGTCGACAATGCATTCAGCCAATGACTTTTCAAGATCGCCTGCATGAGAGGATGGCGGATGGATGGATGATGGTTCCACATTTCATTCATTCACAATTGCAATTTGCGAGTCCGCAGGCATAGGAGAGGTGGCAGAAAAGCCAAGAAAGAAAAAAAATATACAGAGAAAATAAGTTGAAGATAAATTAAAAAATTTAAGTTGAAAAAAATAAATGGAGAAAATGTTTGGAGAAAATAAGATGATGTTGATGGGGTGATGTTTGGGGAATAGGAATATGTAGAGGTGGAGACGGAGAGGAGTAAGGCAAAACAATCAACCAAACCATCTGTCATTATGACAGGAAATGTATATTAAAATACCAAAAAGATCAGTGACAGTGTGAGTGATGGACACTTTGGTTTTCTTCAGTATTTTTATTAAAAGGTGACATTGGACTTTTTTAAAATTACACAATTGTTGTAAAAAAATATTGAAATACTCAAATTTCAAAACGTTTTTATACTATTCACCACACTGTGGTACAGGGTTGTTATGTCTTTGTGCATATGTTTGTAACAGGCAAAAGGAAACGAGATAGGCCCATGGTTCCTTTTGAGAATATGCATAGAATCACTTTCTAAGTCGATTTATGCATGTCCAGGTTAAATTGTAAACAAAGTACAGGTCGCATTTATGATCCGAGTTGGATCCAAATTTGGCACAGCTCATTTATTTGTCCCAAGTACTAACCCTATTGAAACTATAAAAAATCGGATTAGATTTGGATATAGCTCCCATATATATTTTCGTCCGATTTAAGGTAAATGGTGTACTAGTGTCCCGATTTGCGCGAAATTTGGTAAATAGTGCACCAAATTTTCATATATATCTTCAGATTTGCACGAAATTTGGCATAGCATACTCAATTAAGTCTAGGATAATTTGTGTCTAGTTTTGTGAAAATCGGTTCAGATTTAGATATAGATCTGATTTAAGGTGAATGGTATACCAATGTCCCTATATATGGTTGGATTTTCCCGAAATTTGGCACAAAGTACTGAATTGAGTCTAGAATGATGTGTCCTAAGTTTCGTGAAAATCGGTGCATATTTAGATATAGCTCCCATATATATTTTCGTCCGATTTAATGTAAATGGTGCACCGAAGTCCCCTTATATCGTTTGATTTGCACACAATTTGGCATTACGTACTGAGTTAAGCATAGAATGATGTGTGTTAAGTCTCGTGAAAATCGGTTCAGATTTAAGGTAAATGGGGTACCAATGTCCCTATATATCATTCGATTTGCACTAAATTTAGCATAGGGTGCTGAATTGAGTCTGGAATGATGTGTGTTAAGTTTCGTCAAAATCGGTTCAGATTTAGATATAGCTCCCATATATATTTTCGTCCGATTTAAAGTAAATCGTTCGATTTGCACGAAATTTAGCATAACGTACTGAATTAAGTCTAGAATGATATGTGTTAAGTTTCGTAAAAATCGGTTCAGATTTAAATATAGCTCCTTCATATATTTTCGTCCGATTTTAGGTAAATGGTGTACCAATGTCCCTATATATGGTTCGATTTGCATGAAATTTGGCATATCGTACTGAATTATGTCACGAATGATGTGTGCTAAGTTTCGTCAAAATCGGTTCAGATTTAGATATAGCTCCCATATATATTTTCTTCCGATTTAATGTAAAATGTGCACTAAAGAAAGACCCAAACATTGACCGATCTGCTGAAGTTAATATAAATTAATCTTTAGTAAGTTTCGTTTAAATGTGTGTTAGTCGGTTCACTTATAGATAAAGATCACACATTGAAGTTCGTTATACGATGGAAAAGGGCCTCCTAATAAAAAAAAGAAATATTCCTCATATCAAATAGTAAAACACAGGATATCCCAGAAATATGCCTAAAATTGTAAGCTCCCAGCTCATTAAGTTCGGAATAGTCTCTGAAGTATTCAGTATAAACTATAGAAAACATTTTGAAACATCCCTTCAAAAAAACCCTTTCACATTTTAATAAAAATTCGTTTCTATTCATCTAAGCATAATGTCGCTTCTTCTAATAGTTCCCATTTCATATCATTGCATTTATTGCTTATCTAATAAAACAACAACTACTAGTACACAACTTTTTATTTAATATTATTTAATTGCGATTAATTTATTTTAATCTGCACAAGAGAATATTCATGCACCAGCCTTCTATCAGGCACTTCTTCCTGCTGCTGCTCAAAGTTCCCAGCTCAATTAATGAAAGAAACAATGACATTTGTTTCGCTCGAATGCAAAATAAAAATAAAGAAAAAAACAAACCGCAGAATTGTAGCTATTTATGTGAAATAACCTTGTCCTATGATAAGGCCAAAAGTATGGAATATAATAATAAACAGAAAATTATTTTTAAAACATACACATTCAGATAATTTCTATAAAAAATATGTCTTTACAATACACCGCCTTAAGATGAATGAGTTGTGACGAGGGTATTCCAAAAAATCGACGATTATGAAAGGGAAATATTTTTTTAATCTATATATTTTTAAAAAATTTACATTAAGGAAGGTTATTAGAATGAATTTGTCAAATAATCAACGCTTCTGGAAGAGTATTGAAAACTATTTCTAGAAAGTCCACGCTTATGGAAGGGTATTGAAAAATCAGTAGTATTGAAAAATTATTTTCAAACAAGTCACCACGTATTTTGTTAAAAATCCACGTTTATGGAAGGGGATTTTATCTCCTGGAGTTATGCATATAACGTAACAATAAATAAGATTATATATTATATAAAACCTCTATAGAACTACAGAATGACATATCAAAGGATTTATATCTACAAAAGACTAAATTAAGCTATAATAGAAGACTTATGAAAGCTATTAACAGGAGATCTCATCAAAGAGCTTTTAAAAGGCGATCTCATCAAAAGTTTTCTATCAACAGAGAACCTCATCAGAAGGTTTTTACCTAGAGTGGATCTTATCAAAGGGGGCTTATATTAACAAGGCACCTTATAAAAGAAGACGTCAACAAGGCTTCCTTTCAATAGAGAAAATCATCAAAAGCTTCTACCAACAAAGAACTTCATCAATGAGTTTTTATCAACGTTGGAATTCATCAGAGGGCTTTTACCAACAGAGGTGATGAGGTCACAACATTGCCAAAAATTGTCTTTCCAATTGGAAAAACTGCGCAAAAGACCGACGCGCTTGGAAATCTTTTCTAAGCTCGGCTTATGGAACTAACACAAGCCAGCTAAGTTAGTAAGTGATGAGGTCAATTCTACTAACAGAGGGCCACGCTTATAAAAGGCCTAAGAAAAATATTATTTAAGAAATTCACGCCTTCAAAAAAATTATACTTTATAAAATTCACACATTGAAGGGATTGTAAAAAAATCAGACCTTGCTGGACTTTCGAAAAATATATTCTCACAAAACTCTAGTCCTTGAAATTTAGATAATAATTTTTTAAACAAAACCCACAACTTCATGGGCCTTCCAAAAAATTTCAAACAAAAATATAGGCCTTGGTTCTTTGAAAATAATTTTCTGAATAAATTCAGACCTTTCAGGACCTTCGAAAATAATTTTCTAAAAAACCCTGCGAGACCTTAAAAAGTGCTAAAAAATCTAGGCCTGAGACCTTCGAAAATGTTCTAAATAAATTTCCTAAAAAATCCAGGCCTTGCTGGGTCTGCGAAATATGTTAGCAAGTATATAGGCCTTAGAACTTCAAAAAATGTCTAAAGAAAAATCCTGGCGTTGGAACTTCGACAAAAATTTTCTAAAAAAAAATTAAGACATTGCTGGGTCTACGAAATCAATATTCTAACTGAAATCTAGGTTTCTTCAAATATGATTTTCTAAAAAAATATTCTAACAAAAATCCTGGTATTGCTGGGCCTTCAAAAAATTAGTCTAAAAAATTCAGGTATTGCTGGTCTTTTCAAAAGGTTTTGATAGGCCTTAATAAAATATTATTTAAATCAATGACATATTGGGCCTTGAAAAAATATGGTTAAAAAAATTCACGATTTGTTTGGGAAAATATTCTTTTATATTCTCGATTATTTAAAAAAAAATGTAATTTTTTTGAACATAATATTCTCCAGACATAGCATGGCCTTCGAAAATAATTTTATAAAAAAAATCCCGGCACTGCGGACTTTGAAAAAAATATTCTTAAAAAAATCCACGCCTTGTTAGGCCATCGAAAGAAATATTCTTTAAAAAATCCACATCTCGATAGGCCTTCGAAAAAAATATTCTTTAAAAAATCCACGCCTTGATAGGCCTTTAAAAAAATATTCTCTAAAAATCCATATTTTTTCCACGCCTTGATAGGCCTTCGAAAAAATATTCGTTAAAAAATCAACGCCTTGTTAGGCCTTCGAAAAAATATTCTTTAAACAATCCACGTCTTGATAGGCTTTCGAAAAAAATTATTCTTTAAAAAATCCACGCCTATTTGTTGACTTGGAAAAATATTATTTAACAAATCCGCGCCTTGTTCGACCATTCAAAAAACATTTTTTTTAATCCACCCTTATTTGTTGAATTAAAAAGACATTCTTTAAAAAATCTAAGCTTTGGTAAAATCCACGCCTCGATAGTCCTTCGAAAAAATATTCTTAAAAAAATGCTTGATATGGTTCCAAAAATATTTAAAAAATAGATGCTTTGATGTGTCTTTGAAATAAAATATCTAAATTTTTGGGCTTTCAGAAAATTTTATTTAAAAAATCCTGGCTTTGTTTGGTCTTTGAAAAAATATTTATGAACATTGGAAAGAATTATTCTTTAGGGATGTCACAGCTATAGAAAAAACTTGGACCGGAGGTCTCACGAATTTTTTTCTATATAAAAACTTGGAGCAGAAGGTCTCCGGATTTTTTTTTTTCTATGGAAAATTTTGTTTCTATAGAAAAATGTCTCCTTAAAAATCTACGAGATTTTCTATGCAATGAGAACCCAAATTCTCAAAATAATTATTTAGAGCTCTATCATGATTTCAACAGTCGGACAGATGAACGGACA